AAATTCAGCAATATAGTGGGATATGCATTGCTTCTACGTGTCCAGGAAGGAAATCTTAAGCCCTATCAAATCAACAGTGGTAGGCCTTAAGAACTTGGACAATGCCACTCTCCTTACTGATCCCGAGTTCATCCTGGACTGCTGGAAAAGCAACTGCCAGAGCCTTCTCAACAACCACAGCACCACGCCAGAAGACCTGCGAAATGCCCACCAACTCCCTGCTCAGCATTGGATGTCACTCTACACCCGCTTCTGTGAATTGAAAGCAGCAGTTTCATGAAACCTGGAAATGCTCTCGGACCCAATAATGTACTCCTTTAATTTTTCTCCCATGTGGCCTCAAACTGAAGACCCAGCTAATGCTCCTGATACAGAAAATCTGGGAAGATAAAACAATACGTGAGGACTTTAAAAAATTTGTAATGATCTTCAAAAAAGGAGACTGCTCATTCTGCAGAAGCTATCATGGCATCTCCCTCCTAAGCATCACAGGCAAGATCTTTGCGCAAATACTACTGAATTGATTCCTTCCCATGATGGAAGAAATCCTTTGAGAATTATTTGTGGTTTCTGGCTTTCAAGAAGCACTGTCAACATGGTCTTCTGTCATGTGACAGCTCAAGCAAAAACCACCAGTGTTGATCTTCTGAGATCACCAGAAGAGCTTCAACAAAGTCCCAAGACCGACAAAGTTTGGCTGTCTGGGTTGCTTTGTTTGTCTGATCTGTATGCTCCACAATGGAATGGAGAGATCGGTGAATCATTGAGGTGTCCTTTCTGATCTGTTCCCAATCACCCATAAACAAGGCTGTGTGTTAGCTCCTGCACTCTTCTCTCTGTAGATTGCCACCATGATCAATGAGATACACCCGAGCCTCTCCCCCGGTGCCACTAACAGACTTTTCAACTGTCAAAGGCTTTGTGTAACATTAAAAATAAACATGGATGATGGAAACTATACATTTCTAAACTTAATGCCACTTAAGAAAGCATGAAAAAATAAGTGTGAGTGGTGGCAAGGGGGCATGCCACTACCACCAAATATACAGAAAACAAGATGTTGCAATTAATTCTTCAAGAAATCATTACTCAAACATTTTTGAAAAATTCAGTAACCAAGATTAAATTTTATACCAGATAGCACAGAAGACAATATTTTCTATAACTGAACTGGAATTATAACAAAAGTATGAATTTATTACTGGATCAGATGAAATTCATAGTCCATTCCTAAAAAAATCAAAATAATCCCAATCCTTAAACTTTGATAAAATCTAGCCATTGGTGAATGGCAGACAAATGTTAGAATGATAATGGAAAAAATTGTTCGGACTAGACTCCATGCAGGCTGTAGCTACAATACTCGTAAATTAAAAAAAAAAAAAAAAACCATGCTGGACCCTAATAACTGACTATAGATTACTGGGTTTGCAATGTATACAAGAACCAATCTACATTAGGTTATAAATGGAAGATTACTGAATGTGATTTTACACAGCATGCACCAAATTTTAATAGTCATTCCAGTTCATTCTAATCTTAAAAAGAAGAAAAACTGCATACTATTGTTGGGTAAAAACTTGAAATTAAAGAAGTTTTATCTTAACTTAGGCTTTTGTTGTACTTGATGAAAATAAAAACTGTTTTTGGGATATTTGGTACAAGCTATTAGATATCCCAAACTTCAGTTTACATTGTGAAAATGGGTTGAAAGTGAAATTTCCTTCCATTTCAGCTATTTTGCTTATTGCCAATGTTATTTTGATAAAATTAAATGGATTTTAATCTTTTCTCTTTATAAAGATACAATTCTTCCTTGTGTGTGATGATTAATTCTTATTCTATATCCCTTGAGATTATATCACTATTTCAATGACGGGCACTTTTCTACATTTTTCAAAGATAATTTCACAGTGATGTTTTTCAAAATTGTTGTGCTCGAAGATGTCTCCCCCTATACATATCAAAAAAAAAAAAAAAAAAAAGATTCTTGTCAATTTGGTGGGCCTAAAATAGAGCTTGAAGAATTGAAAATTTTAGTGGATGTAGTACTAGAATTCAACTCTTTAAAAAAAAAAAAAAATTATAAATGCACCTTCTGGTAGAGCAAGGTCTCATCTTTAATAATCAGTTGATTTCAGATCTCTGTGCTCAGACAACTTGAGGTGCAAGCAGATAAAAAAAGAAGGTATAATAGTGCATTCATTTTGTGCAAAATTGTTGGATTTGATGCATGAAAACTTGGATTGCTGACCAAATGAACATCGTTAGACTTGTTTCATTGATGGATTTTTACAGTTTAAATCTTTTCCTTATATTTTCTTTTATGATGAATTTTAAAACTGTACTAAAAATACTTACTGTATTATGTTGAATCACTTTCCCTTTGGTTGTTTTTATGAATTTTATAAAAAAAAAAAACACAAACAAACCTTAAGCTGAATTCATATTATAAAATAAACAGAAACTGGATATATTTTTGGTTCTGTAAATTTTGCAAATTCATGTTTGTCCATAAAAAATTAAAATGAATTTTAGACTAAAACATCCTATTTTTCCTTTAATGGTCATTTTATTGCATTGACATTTTTTGTGATGGGATGTATTTTCTCTAAGTCATGGATCATATTGAAAATTTTATATTTCTTTTCATAGGTATCACCACTAATTTTTAAAAATGAAAAAGCTTTCATTGAAAGCTAAAGGATTTAAAATTTACTATTTCCAGTATGCAAAATACTAGTGTATTTCAAACAAATTATATTGATTGATTGATTTTACTGAAAAAAAAAAAATTCCAATCAAAAGAGCCTTTTTTGACACATTTGTAAACAAAAGTTAATTCTCCATTTTAAAAAACTTGCAAAAATAAAATATTTTTGAAACATTATTTGAGGAAAATTAGCAAATTTAAAGTTAAATTAATCTGATTTGAAACAAAACAAATATTACTTACTTATAGCATAAGAAATGTTTGTATACAACACTAACTACAGCGTCTTGTTTTTCTGACATGTCCAAACGTGTTCAGATAGAGTTGGGGATGGGCGGTCCTTTTAAAACACATTGCCATTTAATGGATTTATCGGTTTTTACATCCATGCTTTACAATATAGTTTTACTTAATTGTTAGGAAATATTGTTCTCATTTAAATTAATTTAAAATTGTAAAAATTCATTTTTCATCAAAAAAATCTTTCTTCAGACTAGTCTTTAATATATATTAATAAAAGCAATTAAAAACTTCTATAATTAATGTCTTAGTTTTAGTGTGTATTTGTCAATTTAAAACAGATTTTTGCTAAGACTGGGTCCAATTATCAGCTGTAAAAAAAAAAAAAAGCAATAACTACTTGATTATGCAACTTTTCTAGAAGACATTTTTCTATGATAAACAGAATTGCCTTAAATAATAAACCATAGCAGTGATAGTTTTTCAAATGGAGATGTTTGGTTTAGTTTGAATTAAAGAAAGTCAAAAATTAATTGGAATCAAGCAAATAGTGAAATAAAATTGCAAGAAAATACTAATATTTACAAGTTATTAACTTTTCATAACAATGAAGCATGCATCTTTTCTCATGCGGGGGGGGGGGACAATTTAGTTTAAAATAAGTTTAGTTTAAAATAAAAAAATATGTCAAAGTAATAAATTTAATATCTTTTCATAACTAATTTAAATCTAATTTAAATTGACTTGGGGAATTACATTTTGAAATTTTTTTATTTTAGTACTATTTTTAGCAATCTGTGTCATCAGAATGTAATTTTTGAAAGTTTTATTTTATTCAATTACATTTTACAGATTATGTGAGCATATTTTTTTTGCATAATGTTTAAGTACTCAGTAATCTTAAAAAGTTAGGAAAAAATTCTCTGTAATCTAATTTTTTATTGAATTTTTAGATACTTTGGCTTTAAATTTTAGTTATTTCTCTTATTTTCTGATAATGTCATATGGGCTTCTGTCTCTACAAAAATCAGCATGTTTATATACACGAACACACAAATTCTTTTAAAAATGTTTTAGATTTGTTAAGAGCTTTCCAGTTATGATTAGTAAATCATTTTTACTTAATATCATCTAAGAGGGTGAAATAAATACAGAAAAACTTCATAGATTAAAAAAAAAAAAATATTTATCAAAAAATTTTTCCAAGACAATTGTGTCTTTATATCTTATTTAGAAAAAGCAGAATTTTGGTATTTCTCCAAGGAGTTTGAATATCAAGATGAAATTTAATTTCTTGAAATGTTACCCCCACCTACTTAATTTTATGACAAGAGAAAGAATTTCAAAATCACTGGAAAAAAAAAAAAAAAATCCCCTATACTAATCTGCAGACCTAAGACAGACAAAATTGTGATTAAGTCTTTTTCATCATGGTATGTTCTTTTTCAGCAAGTACCTAAATTTTTTTTTTAATAAAAGACAAACCAATTTTTTCCCCCCACAAGTTTTATTTGATTTTTAAAAAAAAAAAAAAAAAAAAAAAAAACAAACTTTCATAACCCATTCGTCTCTTTATTGTAACTGTACACACATACAAAAAAAAACAAAAACTGATTTAACACAAACTAATGTTATATACACTGCAGTAGAAGAAAGTTACCCCCCCAACTCAAGAAAGGTTTTCCCCACAATGAAAGAAGGAGGATTTTGTAGGTGGGTGAATGATAACAGAGCCCAGATATTGAGAAAAGTTTACAAAAATAGAGCTGACATTTTCAAGTGATTTAAGTCGTCTCTTTGGTGAAGTCTGTATTAACAATTTGGAATTTTGTTTAACCCTATACAAACAAGTGAAATTGGTTAATGAATGATGTCCATTAGTTTTAAGAAGAAAACAAATTTAACTAAGTTATTTATCCCAAGTTAGACTCAAGACTGCTTTCTTGATTTTTCTTTCTTTCATAAAACCATTTCCTGTTTCATCTTTAGAAAGTCAGGTCCTTATTAGTCCAATGTTAAATCAGTACATTCTTTTACTTTTTCTTGCTTACACATCCGGATATATTGAACATGGTCTTCGGAATTCCTGTCCTCGTTCATGAATCCATTTGTTCATTACCCATTTATTTCCAACCAACACTGGACAAGCAGCATGTCGTGTGTTAAAGATTCCGTCACCATTTTTCTGCAGATTATACCAAAAGGCAGCAGTACCCTGTTAAGAGATTGAGTTTCAGGTTATTATTGTTGCCATGTCTATCCACAACTTTAATGATACATGGGGAGAGGGGGGATGTAATGAGTACTTACTTTCTTGGGGAATAATTTTAAACCAAGATAAGGGAAAACAGTGGCTCCTCCACTTGGAACATCACTCATCTGAAATGATAAATTACAAATGGTTGACAGTGCACAATAAGGAATATTTGTTTTTGTGGAAAGAAACAAAAAAAAATATAGAAAACAGTTTTTATTTCACAATGTATCAAGTTTACTAATGTATCCACTTTCTTCAAGTGCATACATAAAGAAAAAAAATCATTGCAACAGAACTGACTTTTTTCTTTTTTTAAATGTACTTTAAAAAAATGAAATGAAATTTTGGTTGGAAATTATGTAGTTAAACACTCAAAATAAACAACAAAAAACAAAAGAAAATTATCATGTACTGAGCAAATCCATTTTATGTCAAATTAAGTCTGGGAGCTGATACAGCTAATTACTGTATAATAGTTTGTTTTTTTTTTTCTCTTTAAAAGATATTGCTGCCACTTCCAGGCAGCAATTTTAAGCTTATAAAAGAACTGAGGGATGAAATTTATATCCTTTATATACAAAAGAGGTCATAAACATTCTCCCTCACCACCTTTGCAAGGATTGCATTTATCACTATAACATTTGAAATAAGCTCAATATGTACAAATGAGGAAACAACAATCACCAAGTCATTTTATATGTTTACACATTTCATGTGAAGTAACCAGAAATATTTAATACTTGTGAAAGAATGGGCGATGTATTTAAGGTAAACAACATAAGAATTACAGTCATATTCACCTTGAATAAAAAAAAAATAAATTTAAAAAAAAAAAAAAAAAAAACAACAAGACAAGGCAAGACACTTCACTTACATAGATTAAAAATGTGGCTATCCGGTTTCCTGTACCCAATCTCTTGAAGGCATTTGTCTCTTCTTTCTGGTTGGTCAATAAAGGATATGAAAAAGCTATAGACTCAGTTTGGGATCAATCAAAGAACACGTTAAAATAGACATCGAAGTGATGAGCGAGTGCTAGTGCTTACAAAATGAAGAAGTGCAAACACTTATGGCAGACCTTACAACAAAAATAATTGAAGCACAAAAACCTTTCAGTGCCAATTCCTTTCATTAATATTGAAGTTTTTGAAAAGTATGCCCAAGAGGCCATATGCAAGTTGAATTTTATTGATGACAGAATAACATCTGTATCAATTTTTTTTCAACATCAGCAAGCCACATTTGTAAATATATAGACATGACTTTCTAAGTTTTGCTGGTAAGAATATCACTCAGATATTTTCTACATAACAGTTACAAGGAATTTGTAAACAAGATAATTTTGATTTAAATATTTGAAGGCAGAAGAAAAAGTAATAGTGGAAGGTCTGCCATTGGAAATGCCTTCAATTTGTAGACAGTCACTAGTTTGGTTGGGTGGTTGATTAGTGATTCATGCACAAGTGGTGGTGCCTCTTGCCTCAGTTTACCATTAACCCTCAACTTTCATAATAATAATAATTATGAAAAGAATTAATGTCACCATGTTACCAAGATTTCTTTCTGCTTTCCGAAATGTTTTAATCTTGTATCAGCATGTTTGCTCAGCACATGACCAACATACAGTTCACAGTGAGCACTTACATAGACCAGGAAGGTGGCTATTCGGTTCCCCACTATCTTCTCAAAGGCATTTTTCTCCCGTTTCTGCAACATCATAGCAAAAGCCATACAATAGACACGAATACATTGAAACAGACTGATACAATTATATCAATACTAAATATTAATACTAACACTTCAAATATAAAGATAAAAAAAAGATAAACTTGTGTATAAACAATTAAATACCAAGTTATGTTGAGTAAAACATTTACAGTGTAATGGCAACTTTTATAGTTTAATTCCTTATTAAAAACAATAAAATATATATATATATATATATATATATAATAAAAAGAGTCATTTAAGGCATAAAAATAAATTTTAAATTTGTATTTAAAAAAAAAAAATACTTTGGTCTACCATTAATTTTTATTCCAGTCACTGAGGAAAGTTGAAACACCTTAATTGGACAGAGGCAACACTTGGAAATAAAATAATTTAAAATCCCAACCAAACTAAAAGTTGTCATTTTGCATTAAGAACAAGCAGAAATAACTTCAGACTACAAAAATGTTTAAAATAATTACTTAACTATTAGGAGGAGGAGGCTGTGAATATTCTTTTAGCTTACACTTGAATAAAAAAAAGCATTCTGAAAAGTTAGTGGTAAGTAAACTTATTAGAGATAATTTAAAAAAGGTTAGATGCAGAAAAAAAAGAAAAGAACCATAATGTTAAATATGAAAATAGAATTACGTCAGTAGACGAGAGAGAAATGAGCATACCTACTTTAAGCAGATAATACCTGAAGAACTTTACCTATTATTCAAAATTGGAGCTAACAATACTCACCTCTCTAACAGCTACTTTTACTTTTCGGTTATATATATATGTATGTTTCATTAAATAATATAGACAAGTTTTGTTTATTTTAAGTAAATTCCCTTTCATATTATCTGATAAGCTTAATAACATTATCATTGAAAGAAAAACACCATATTGATATGTTTTTTAATCCTATCTAAGCTTTCGGCTTATATAAGCCATTATCAAAGATGACAATTGCATTTCAATATCACGGACAAAACAATAATGATAGTCTGTTTTTGTTGCATGTTGTGTATACGAGACATGGAAGTGAAAAATCGCACTGCAGCTCGTGGCGTGACACATAATACTTCTTGTTTTCACTCTCGCGTGGTTAAGTATGGAAAGCTGTTAGTATAAACCAATGGCTTCTGTTATCAATTATAGGCATTTAAGAATATTTGTGGAGATTTCATAATTTATTTTGTTCAGGTTAGGTTTCAACTGTTATATAGCTTCAAGAATTTTTAGTTTTTGTTTGTTTTCATGTTTAAGTATAGTTGGATTTTCAATGAGGATTTTCTGGAATTGTGTATGCAGCCAGGTGGTTCTTTTACAATGTTAGTTATCATTCATATATATATATATATATATATATATATATATATATATATATATATATAATTAATTTCAGTTGATTAATTTTTGGAGCTGGGTATTAAATACTGGAATTTAAAATTAGGATGGCAAAGATTCCATTTTCAAAGGAGGGGAGGGAAACTGTCAGGATCATGTATTTTCTTGTAAAATAAAGTGATCCGACAAGCCTATCTGTATAATATATGCAGAACGTGCAAGAAAACAGTTGTGCAAAAACAAAGTTGACAAGTGCATAAGACAAAGAGAAAGAAAACAATATTAATCAACAAGACAAATGTATAGTTAATATCTTTTGAAATCTTTGACAACATTCTGACATGCCATTATGAAAGAATTCTATAAAAATTTATTGCAAAGAACATTGTAATAATTATATTTGAATTTTGATAAACGTACAATTTATAGCTAATAACTAGTTTATTTTCAGCTTAATACTTTTACAATCATTGAAATAATTTTTATTTAACCATTTCAGTTTAAAATAAGATTTGATTCACATAAAACTCCATGTGCTTTCAGCAAATATACATTAAGTATTAATTAGCAAAATATTGCAAATTCAAATTACCTATTAAACTTTGTTTTTTAAAAGTAACAAAATTAAAACTTTAAAAATTAAAAAAAAAAAAAAAATTTAAGGTAACAGTACACCTATTAATGAAAATTCAATCAAGTAATTCCTACTTTTAAGAAAGATGTTTTATAAAACTGTTTAACCTTCAAATTCCACTAAATTGTTTTTTTAAGTTCATATAGAAAAACAGGTTACTCATAATGAAGTAACTGAACCTTTTTCTTTAATCAAATCCTAACGAAATACTAAACTCCAAACTTCGTAACTAATCAAAAGTAAATGCCTTTGGCATACAATTGATCTTGACATTTCAAAATGTTCAATTTAGATAAAAATATTTAGACATTTTGACCGATATGATTTGGTCAATACAATCTATCCTACCTCAATAAGTGATTAATTTTTGTTTTTTTATATTAATCTGAATTTATTGAATAATTAAACAGTTTATCCACTGTGCCATGTGGATAAAGGCATTAGTTAGATCCAGTGACAGGACCCAAAGTGTGTGAGTTCAATACCTGGTTAAGGCGGTGGAGAACTTGGAGAGGGAATTAAGCAGGAGATAACTGACATCCATTAGACATGGCACGTGGAACTAGAACAGTTTACTCCAGTGAGCGAAATAAAGGGTTCAGTTCAACATTCCAACCACCTGAAGAAGGCCGACGTGTACAACGGCCAAAACATTGTGATAAATATGGCCACAATGTAAATATATTTAAAATTCATTTTAAACTCTAATTCACAAATTAAGTTTCAGTTCAAAAAACTAAATTTTTTTAATCCAAGCTGAATTTTTTTTTTGTCAACAATGAAAATATATTTCAAAGGGGTGGAGAATTGTCTTCAATCAAGATTTCTTAGAAATGGAATAATTATCTTGGAGCAAATCACGAGTGTATAATTGTAGGTGGAAGAGGGATTAAAAAATAACAAAACAAACAAAAAAACATACATACCCGGGCAAAATCAAAATGGGGCTCATAATGACCACCAATGCCATAATTGGCAACCTGGGAAATAAAGCATCAAATCAGACAAGAGAATAAATTTAGGGGGAAAATTTTTTCGTTTTCAAAATACGAGAGAGAATCATCTTAATATAGGTGTCATTGTAAAATAGTGAAATCATTGCTATTTTGAAATAACAGTTTTGTTCAAATGTACAAGCTGAAATCATTATTATTTCTCTTGACTTAAACTGATTAATTTTGTTTTTCAAAACAATTTTCAAATAATACTTGTAAATAAGATTGAGTTTTAAAAATATGATCTATTGAAATTTCAAATTGTTCAGATTGTATTTACAAAGCAACAAATAACAGGGATTGGGGCTGGGTCTTTTTTCAAGAGTAATTTTCAATTTACCTGTAGTTCTTCTGCAGTACTAAGTGTTAGATTTGTGACTGTCTGAATTCTTTTATTAATTTTTTCAAATATCTCATGTTCTTCTCCTTTCAACCAGGCACTAAAATAAAATAAATAAATATATATAAAAAAAAAAATCACAAGTTATAATGGTTCAAAGATTGCAAGATTTTGTTGGTATGAGAAAGGTCACAAGTTATAAAGAAGGAGACTAAAGCAAGCAATATGAGCAAAATATTTGGTGACAATTTGTGTGTGTGCGTATACCTCTTTCAAGTGCTGTGTCTCTTCAGGACATAGCCAATCATGGCTCTCCACAATTTCCTTTATCTTGTGTTTTTTTTTTTAATAGAACAAAGATAAATTTATTAATATCTTTTTCATTACTATTTTTCTCAAAACTTTGTTACTCATATGATCCATCCATGCTCTTCTCAACCTACTTCAATATAGCTACATTTTAGTTTCTTCATCTGTGAAAAAATGAGCATTTGCTGCCATTGATGCACAAATACACAATCTTTCTTTCAATGTCAGAAACAATGCATTCTAACAAAATGCAATTTATAACCAAAATCTTTTTCCCACTATAAACACACAACACTTCATCTAACAAACAATAGTTCAGCTAAGTAAAACAAAGTTCAACTCTCAATATATTGTCCTTGTGCCAGAATAAACTAAATAAAATTCAGTAAATAACTGTCAAGAGGAGCTCCTCATTATAGAAGTGATATTTTGTTTATTTAAATAGAAAAGTTTAAATACCTTTTACTTATTCTGTATGTTGCAGTTTCCAATTTTCCAGTCACAGAATTTTGAACAGTAGCACGATTTAACTGGAAAAGATTTTAAACATTGAGAAAAACAAGACATTTTATATAAAATTTCTGTAACATTGAAGGAAGTGACTACATTAGTAGAGAAGGAAGGGGGGGGGAACCCCCACCAAGAACAAGTTATTCATTTGAAATTACAAAGGGATGCATAAAGTTATTAACCAACATCTTCACTGTACAATGGCCTAAATATTTGTGATTGAAGTTTTTTTTTCAATGCATTTATGTTTAAACATTTAATAATGTTATAAAGTGTGTGTGTGTGTGTGTTATAAACTCATTAAGAAAATTAATTTTTTGTATATCAATATTGATGAGTCATGTATTGATTTACTTCCACAATGGCAGCTTCTTATCAATCCATATAAAATGCTCAATTTTTACTCCTTTTCTACTTTAGATATGAATTATTCCTAGAGGAAATGGTTTCATGAATAAAAAAATAATTACCTTTGGTCGAGCATAGTCTTTGATAAAATCAATCTCTTTATCAGTTACAATATCATGATAAATCACTAACCAAGGGTCTAAATGCATCTCCTCCTCTTTGACACGAGCATAGAACAAATAAGGGTTTCCATACCAAGCATATTGACACTTGAGCTTGTGGTAATCTTTTATTGGCTGGCAAGAGAAAAAAAATAAATTTGATATCACAAAGTAGAATTCTTTAGAATACATCAATGATAAATTGCTACATATAAAATACAAGACTCCTCAAAATCATTTACTTTTATCAAGTCCATTATTCAAAATTATGAATGTGTAAGGAAAAAAAAAAAAAAAATAAGAGCTTAACATTTTTAAATAATCATTGGAGAGAAAAAAAAAAAAAAAAGAATGGAGACCATTGGGGTCAGATTTGTCATTCATTATCTTATAGATTAATATTCAAAAGGTGATCATTTTTGTACAAGGTGCCCAATAAGAAAATAAAAATATAATAAAAAAAAAAAAAAAAAAAAAAAAAGTTCTATTTACCTGAGTTTCTTCCCCTCTGCACAGTCTTTCATATGTATAAAATTCTTCAGAATTTCTGTATTCATCAATATGCCGTGGATTCCTAAGTAAAGCCTCTCCAGTGTCTCCTCTCTGCTGTCCTGTACTGGCTTGTTCCTCCGCAATTATTTTTTCAAAATAATACTTGTTGTTCTTTGCTCGTTGATGGTCAGGAACTAAAACAGGTGAGGGAATGAGTAAATATTTTGAGGAGTTACTTGTAATATCATCCCCCACCCACCAAAAAGAGTTGGAATTTCACATATGCATCTCATTAAAATCTACTTTTCTTATCCTAAAATAAGAGGACAAAAAGGACAAATGATTTCATAACAAGAAATTCATTCTCCCCACATTTCAACCTAAATCATTGATGTAACCAGAATTACAAAACGTTACAAATCATGGCCTGACTTGATTTCAAAATCATTTTTCCTACCAAAATAATCTTTACCACCACCTCCAAGACAATAAGAGATATAGTTTGGAAGGAAAATAAATCCTGGCATCTGATATGATGTTGGGTCTAGTACCTAAAACACCTGCAATGTAGGAAGAACTACATTGGTAAAACATCTATAAATCTAAAAGCCTGCATCATAAGAGAAACCTATGTTTGGACAACCCTTTAAACTCACTCATAATACACAGAAACAAAACAGGCCATAACTTTCATTTTAATAATGCCACCCTAATTATAAAAACACAATTCATTACACAGAAAACACTTAAGAGTTCTGATAAATATTTAACATATATAAACACATGTTAAATACTTTATTATATCACCAACTTTTATAATATCCATACTTAAAGAAAGTGAGATATGTCTACCTAAAACCACAACCAGTATAACAAATTCTTTCACCATCACACAAAACGTCCACAAATCAATATGTGGATAACCACCAAATATGGATAAAAATGGCTACTAAACACACGCATTATCATTCAAATCCTGCATAGACAAACTAGAATTATGATACACACATGAATTATACACAGAAATACTGCTTGACAGGACAGATACACAAAATCTAGTTAACCAATGAAAAACATAAAAATACCAGAATTTTCATTTCTCCTTCATATTTCATTTCTGAAACATTAAATCTGTTTCCTATTTGTCCCTTATACTATTGTGTATGTGTGCATATAAAAATTCAAAGAATCTAAATTGTATGTTCAGTCTTGTTTACAGAAGAAAATAACCAATTGCCTTCTTATAACATTAATTTTATGCCCTCTTTGTAAAGACGAGGAGATAGTTTATAAACTATATACAACTGTGGCTTTATTCAAAACAAACACTTTATAACTTTACAGGTTCTAGTGTTTTGTTTTCTGCTTTATTTTTCTTCACCATAAGCAAAGCTGAACCCTGCTTGCATGCTAATAAAACAATCCCTTCAAGTTTTATAATACTCAAAGACAAAGAGAAGAAAATTTATTAGCATCATCTGCCCACTAAGTAGTGTGCAGGTGAAATTGATACTTTTGGAGTTAATGGATTAGTGAAGGAATCAAAAAGTTCACTTAACACAAAAGATTTATTTAGAATTGTTCATTTCAAATGATAAATATAACTTTGAATTCTTGTTACCCTTTAAGTGAAACATGGTAATATTAGCCATTTCTTTATAAGGAAACATTCTCTGACTGAGCAATTAGCACTACTGTTGGTTGAAATTTATAAAATTTTTCTATTAAAACAATTTTCAGGAAAATAGGTTTCTCAAGTCCAATGACTTATCACTCTTTCTAGTATTGATAGAGGGTTTCCTTCCTAACCTTTTATTTGAAGTAATATGTGATATCCATTTTAGTTGTTGCCATTGTTGAAAGTCCTCAAGTGATGTGGTTTCTGTTATCTGTGGCACCAGTCTAGCGTTTGAAGAAGCATAGTCTTCACCAAGACACATAAGCTTCACTCAAAGCCATTTTTAACCATTAAACTTAGAAGGCAGTTGCATACAGCTGACAGTTCAGATATTTCTGAATGGGTTTGCTGCTATACATGATAACCATATGAAAGCCTCGATCTGACAAGACTATTTAAGAACATTACTAGTTTTCAGGTTAATGTTTTAGCTTTGTAGCAATTTGCAGTGTTGAGTGAAATTGCCTTGAGCACAGCCTATTCATTTTCTATTTCCTTACAATGGTGAGGCGCAAACTGCGGATTTAGATATCACAAAGGTGCTTGACAGGTTTTGACATGCCAGCCTTCTTCACAAACTCAATGGCTATGGTCTGTGTGGTCAAATATTTGACATAATCCAATTGTTCTTAATGAATTGCATAATAAAGATTTTGCTGAATGGCCATGCTTTTAGATAGTTTCACATTAATGAGCACCCCCCCTCCCAAGGCTCTATCTTTGAATCTGTATTGTTATCTTCAACAATCACAATAGGCATTTATGCTGATGACAACTATTTACTCATGTCTTAATAGTAAATCCAAAAAGATCTAACAAAGTAAAACTAGTAGCTGCTCTTGAAAATGATCTCCAATTAATTGTTAACTGGGGCAAGAAATGGCTTGTAAATTTTAACACCTCCAAAGCAAAACTGCTATCTTTCAATCATAACTCTCATAGAGAACCATTTTTACCTTCCATCAGCAGAGCAACTCATTGCACCTTCCTGGTCTCATGTTTCCCCCTGTCATAAAGTGGAGTCATTATTATATTGAATAAATTGCTAAGTACACTGCCAGGAAAGTTGATGCACGGTGCTGTGCCAGACAATTTTTCTTGGCAGAATCCATTTTGCTCATTTATATTCATCCATGCATTGAAAATTGCAGCCATATAGGTTTAGTGGGTTTGTAATGTTATCAGTCCTGACCTGGCATAACAATTTCAGTTACTTTCCCACCACCATGGTGTAGCATCCCTATAAATATTTTCAAGCCATTGTTCTGATGAGCTCTCCTCCTTGGTACCTCAACCACATGAATGTAAGCATACTATTAGATTGGCAAATAGATTTCATCATTTTACTGTTGAAATAGCTAAATGTAACCAAGTTCTATTCTAATAGTTCCTTTTCTGGCCCGTGGAACTAATTTCTTGCTTCCATGCCACCTACGTTTTTCAAGAATTTAAATGCAACATCAATCACCATCATCTTTCTCTTTGAAAATTTTTCTTTTATTGTCCTTTTCCTCTCACTAAACTTTTCTCATTCTCCTTCACTACCAGTAACCTCTTGTGTTTTCATGGCATTATCACCTTGCTTGGGGTGAAATAAAATTTAAAAAAAAAAAAAAAATTTTTTTTTTTTTTAAATTTTTTTTAAATACTGAAGTATAGTAAATTCATTAAGGGAAGCTCTAGTGACGTCATCCCAAAGAAAGAGCGAGACAATAAGAAAAAGCAGATGACAAGAAGTTCATGAACCGAGGAAGCAAATAATGCCAAGGGATGGTGCAATGTATAAATAAAACCATTAGAAAAAATGAAAGGAGGTGAAAGATAATCGTCTCACTGAGAAACGGATATTGGAGGTATATATAAAACGATAAAAGAATTAACATGACAGAAGACATGTTACTCAGTAGAATGCATAAAATCTAAAAAGTGAACACTCCTAATAGGAAAAATACTCCATCGATGGAACAAATACATCAAGTTACCTCTTCAGACAATGGCAGAGGAGAGAAACTAAAAGGAATATTAAAATCTGAGATTGACAGTAAGATGAACAGAAACAAGCAAAACCAGATGGGATTGTAGTTGGAAGCACTATTGTTTAATAATTTCAGTATTAACAAGATTATGGAAATAAATGAAATCTACAACAGTAGCAACATACCAGAAGGCATTAGTAAATTCATTTTTAGTGATATCAAAAAATCCAGGTGCAAATGAATGTGAGCTCCATCAGACAGCTTAATGAAGTTATAATTTGAATTCTAATAATCAGAGCTTATAGCAGAACAATTTGACTTTGTTAAAAGAAACTAAAACAAGAAAAGCTATTTTATGAAAAGAATGTTATCAGACAAAGCAAGCAATATAAATGCAAAAAGATCTATATTTATGCATCATTTTATCACATGCTTCCATGAAACAGTCTATCTCAACTGATATGTAAGCTCACCTAATGTGCAAAAGACAGTAAATATTACAGAATATTCTAAGAACAGGCCACCTGTAGTTAAGCAAGTACACAAGAATAGAAAGGGCAAAACAAGGATGTATTTTCTCACCAAATTTATTTAACTAGTTACTGCCAAAAATTCATTAAAAAAAAAAAAAAAAAAAAAAAGCCAAACCAAAGATTTTGATAAAATTTTGTTTTTGGAGGGGGAAATTAAATGATTTTTTAGTAAAATTTCTTTTTAGCACCTTGGAAATTTTGGTTAAAACTCTTAGTTTTCTGGCATTAATGCAAGAGAAAATTTTGTATGAGAAATTTGCAATGAAAAAAATAAAAAAAATAAAAAATTTCTTGCAAAAATTAAACTTTTTGGAGTTATATCAAAAATAGTTCCACTCATTTTTTATTTTAGAAAATTTTTGTATAGAAAATCTGCTCTGAATTGTAAAAAAAAAAAAAAAAAATGCAATAAAATGAAGACATTTGTTTTTATTAATAAAATATATTATGGATGCTATTGTCTTAAAAAATTTAAGGAATAATGAATATTTACAAGAATTAAAATCTTAAATTTCTGTATTGATTTGTAGTGGCCAAGTTATTAAAACTATTTACTAATTATAAATAGAAAAAAATTTCATGTTTTGTCCATTAGGACATCATCAGACTAAAGTGATGTTTATGTTGATGTAGCTACACAGACACAACTGAAAGCGGATGCCAAAATTTTAAAGCTTTTTTATTTTTTTTTTTTTAACTGTGTTTGGATATATAGCCTAGCCAATTTCATTTAATACTATTTTTGTTTCTATTTTATCACTTTTGTTATTAAGTATACCTCATTGTGATAATATCTCTGCTGAGGAAGGTGAAATATAAGAACCGCAATGAATTTACTGTGGATCATCTCAGAATTAAAGCACTTTCTATAAACTTTTGCCTAATTAAAAGAAAGCAATTTGCTAAAAGTAGCATTTTAAAAAAAAAAAAAAAAAAACAACAATCAAGATCATTACATTGAGCAAATTTTGTAAAAAGATCCCTTTTTTTGCTCATATAGTCTTATTTAAATTAGAGAGTTCTTCTATGTATTTTTGTGGCAATTATTAACAGGGGATTGAATAAATTCCTCCTTTAATTTTTAGCTTATTTCGTATGAAACAAAGATTAAAACATTTGTTAACAGGAATGTTGGTGTAAAGGGATTTAATATCTAAACTAGCCATAAGTTTTTCTGCCATGTATATTCCCCTCAATTTTTCCATCAGGTTGCATAAATTTTCATGTCATGGACTAATTCCAAGGAGAGGGGTTAAATTTTTTGTTCTAGCTTTCACCAGTTTTTGGGTATAACTACCAATATGAATCAAAATATACTATTCAACCTACCAACCCTATCACAGATAAATTCTTTTCAAATGTTAAGCTTAAAACAAAATTTGTTACAATTACTAAAACCATATAAGACTTAATACAGAATTTTTAGAAATTTTAAGAGTTTATAAATTGTTCTAATTAAAAAAATTTTGTAAAAATTCATTGTGTGTGTGTATATTATATATATATATGGCTCATTCCATGTCAAATCAACAAGGGGTTAGATCATGTCCGACACGGATTTTTTTCAAATTTGCTACACTTATAGATCTCCATGAAAGGAATTGAATGGCACCTGTTACATATCTCAAGGTCAAGGGTTTCCTGAGATATGACCTTTTTACGAAAATGTGAATAGTGACCAACTTTAAAAGATGATATCTCAGTTGTTTATGGACCTACAAAGTTCATTCATATATCATTCTAAAGTACTTGGATGGATTTACAATTTTATCTTGGGATTTTTTTTAGGGGTCAAATAAAAAAGTTGACCTCGATTTTGTCCTTTGATCTGACTTATCTCAAAAAACGTTATTTTAATTTTTTTAAAATTTTGACAAAAGATTTGTCTATCTTATGACAATATATATTCCAAATTTCATGATGGGCATTCCACTAGAACTGTTGTTACAAGCGTTTTATAGGACTGGGCAAAATTCAAAATGGCGGAATGTAGTATCTGCTACTTTCTAATATTTTTCTAATAATTTAGAATATCAAACATCAACCAAAATTTGTTCACCATTGAGGTCACATATTTTTTATGCTATAATTTAATTAAACCATAACAATTTTTAGAATTCTTTCTTTATCATATCATTTATTCCATGACAAAATCTGTGTTGCATTAGAAAAAAAATGAAGAAAATTCAGTTTCATCACCAGAAAAAATTTTTTATTAATTTCATGACCATGGTCCTTATGTGAATATTAATCAGCATTAAAATAGCTTTACAAAGATATACAACTTGACCATATTGAGAAATATCAAAATGCAGATACTACATTCCGCCATTTTGAATTTTGCCCAGTCCTATAAAACGCTTGTAACAACAGTTCTAGTGGAATGCCCATCATGAAATTTGGAATATATACTGTCATAAGATAGACAAATCTTTTGTCAAAATTTTAAAAAAATTAAAATAACGTTTTTTGAGATAAGTCAGATCAAAGGACAAAATCGAGGTCAACTTTTTTATTTGACCCCTAAAAAAAAAAAATCCCCAGATAAAATTGTAGATCCATCCAAGTACTTTAGAATGATATATGAATGAACTTTGTAGGTCCATAAACAACTGAGATATCATCTTTTAAAGTTGGTCACTATTCACATTTTTTGTAAAAAGATCAGAGGTCATATCTCAGGAACCCTTGACCTTGAGATGTGTAACAGGTGCCATTCAATTCCTTTCATGGAGATCTATAAGTGTAGCAAATTTGAAAAAATCCGTGTCGGACATGGTATTTGCCAACCCCCCCAAATTTGATTTGACATTTGACATATGAATATATATATATATATATATATATATATATAATTTTTATGCATAAAGACTTTCTAAAAAATGTCAAAAATAATTGAACTTCTGAATAAGTGCTGAAATTTTCATTAAAATCCTACAATGATCAGATTTAAAAATTGCTACTTTAATTCAAAGAGAAAAAAAATTTTTTTTCAAAAGTGATTTGTGAGAATCCACAGTAAATTTGTGTCCACATTCTTACATTTCATTTTTCTTGTCAGATTCAAGATTACAATGTGGGATTCTTAATAAAAGTGATAAAAATATAAAGAAAAAAAAAAAACTAAATGAAATTGGATAGACTATATACTGAAATACATAGTAGTTAAAAAAAAAAAAAAAAAAAAAATTTTAGCATCCTTCTCATTTGTGTTTTAATTTAGATTAACTAAACATTAAATCAGCTAATCTTTCTCAAATAGTATTTCAGAAAAGTATATTTTATTTTTGAAAAACTGTCAATAATAATCAGAAAAAAGTTTCAATTCAGTTTGAAATAAAGCAAAATATTTTGCTTACTGGGAATATTAAATTTAATCTATTTACTTGGAATTAAAAAAGCTTCAAGAAGGATCTTTCATTTTTATTTTTTTTAAAATGTATTTTAAACTTTAGGTATCACATTTTTTTTTTTTTAAAATCTTTAAACTTATATGGTGAAACAATCCTAAGAGAAGTAAAAGACCTACCAGGATTTATCAGCAGCAGATATTCTTAACATTAGAAATACAAATGAGACCATGCTGATAGACTCAGAAGGAAAGCTGCAAGATCTTTTAAACAAGGTAGCAAAGGAAAGCCAAGAAAGGACTAGCCATTAACTATAAGAAAATAGAATGTATGGTTTGTCAGCAAGAGACTGCTAAATGTACAAGCTTTGACTGGGAAACATCAAAATCTTTATCTGGATAGTGTAGTAATAAATTACATAAGTAACAGAAATTTGAAGGCACATCATAATAGTGAAAGTGCCTTTCAGAAACTAAGCAAAGCATTAAGGGACATGAAAATTTCATTACAAAGAAAAGGAGGTGCTGAACTACTACATCATATCTGTCTTGTATGGGAGTGAATGCTGAACAATCTCCTCACAGATGTAAAAGTGACAATGTAGTTCTAGAGACAGATGAATATGGACAGATGTGATAAGAGAAAGTTCTGAAGAAAATTGTAACAAGAAGCACACTTATACTTAAAATCAGAGAGAGTTGAAATGTGAGGGTGATGAATGGTAAAGAGTCAAACAGGGTTGACCACATCCTGCTCATAAAAGAATTGAAGATTGATTAAATCTACATGTACAAAACTGGTCCCACAAGTAAACTTTAATGGAGCAACAAGCACATTGCAAATGTTCAAATCTAATGAAAAGTTTTCATTCGTTTCATTATCCAAGACTTATTCCTATAAATATTAGATAAAGATAAGACTTGACTTTACCAAATGTTAGTATCATTATTTACTTACCAAGTTCAAGTAATTCATTGGTTAAAACCAAAGCAAGACGAGCATTTCCTTGCTGGAAGAGAAAGAACATTAAAAGATTGACTAATATGTTAATAAAAAAAAAAAAAAATATTGTATTAACAGTTGACTAAAATACCACAATTTGAAACAATGTTAGCAATAAATGCTACTATCGCATACAAAGAGATGTCAATTTGACTTTTAGTCTTACAAGCAGCCATCCAGTTTTTGACTAAGTCTTTCATATTCTGCCCATTTTATAGGATTAAAAAAAAAAAAAAAAAAAAAAATACATGAAACAAGAAAGCAGCTGATGATTATTTGAGAAATATTCTATCAAGAGAAAGTACCCCAAACTATTATCAGGTTGCTACAAAAATGATTGTAATGATTTTTATTATTATTATTATTTTAAAACTTATTTGGAAATAAACTATTTATGTAATACATCATTTTACATTGCAAATTTCCTTATGTTGATTTAGGCTAATGGTCATGTTTTCACAGTGTTATTGTAGACTGTCAAAATGAAGATTTGTTGAGAGTCAAGTAGAGCAATTTTATTGTCTCAGTTTTCAAAATGGGATATAGGAGAAAATGTCAGCCAAGCATTTGGCCAGAGAACCATCAATAAATGTACAAATCAATATTGGTTGAAGTTTTCTAACATTATTGAAATAATCACATTAAACAATTCTATATGTTGCAAAATGACTAAACATTGACTGTTCAACATGTGTGAAATTGGAATAATTAAAAGCTGAACAAAAAAATTCCACATAATCTGAACAAAAAATGTATAAAGAATTTGTGTTATCAAGTCTACTCTGTACTTTCATGTAACAAAGACAACATTGTAACAAAACATGGATCCTATAAGACAACTAAGTACACTATGTAGTAGCTGAATTGAGGTGAAAGCTAAAGACTTCTTCAAACCAAAATGGCATCCATCTAAATGTTATATGGTCATCGTTTTGTGGCTAGCAAGTATAGTTATACATTGGTGAAGCCACTACAACAAAAACTGAATGAATACAATACTACCTCAGCTACTTTCTAGGATGAGAAAATTATTTACACTTTGACTATTAATTGAGAATTCAATCCCTGAGCCAGGTGGTGTGTATTTGGACACAGTGGAAAAGGGATAAGCAATAACTGCGCAATAGTAAGAAAAAACTAGGCAAGATATCCCTAGACATGGAACAAGGGACCCATCTACTCCCATAGATTAAATAAAGAGATCAGTTCGAAATTCCCTGTAGGTACCCGAATCAACAAACACCTGATGAAGGCCAGAGGGCACAACAACAAAGATGAGGACAACAATCCACATGTAAATACTTCATCTAACTTACTCTCCAGAATTCTAACAGATTACCACTTAAGATAAAATTTACTTCCTGCAAATTCAAGCAGCAACTAAAGATGCTTTTAAAGAATTCATCAGTTCTAAAATTCTATGTGACTTGAATACATTTGTTTGTTTCTTTTGAATTGTTGACAAAAATGTGTATGTTATGATTCTTAATTTGATTAAAAAAAAATATCATTTCAAGCCAATACTGCTTTAAAGTTACTTAAAATCCAGTTGTCTTTGTAGCTCCCACCACCACAAAACAATCCACACAAGGCTTATGTAAACACAGAATTTCATTGTATAATTTTGTTTAGACATTAGGGCAAATGAATACAATAATTCTAAGGTAAAAAAATATTTGCTCTAGCCAATATAATATTTAAACAAGACAATTTAAGTTTGGAACACCAGCACTCATTCGTGTGTGTGGGGGGGTACTTTTACATGTTTGATTGTAAAAAGTTAAATTTAAAAAGCTTTGACAAGGAAGGGTGGCATTTTAAGTTAAAAATAAATAGCCAAATTAAATATTAGGAAAATAATAGCAGTATTTAATTATGAGTCTTAACCTGATTCTTTAAACAAAGTAAAACTTCTTTCATCTAAATCTAATTTTTTTTCTTTTTAAAATCTAAAAAGAAAATATAGAAGTATATTTTACAGGCTAAAAGAAGCTGATAGTAAATATTTCATACAACAAAAATCCTAGAAAAGGAATATTAGGCAGAGAGTCTATAAAAGTTTTATGAGTAAAATTTTTGTGCACTCTCAAAGCATCAAATATCAAAGAGGTACCAGCAGTGAGTAGGTCAGAGAAAGAGACTTCGCAAAAGGTCAGATAAACTGATTTTGTTTAACAAAATTCTGACTCGGGCTACAATTGTTTCTGTCTAGATTAAAACCCCAAACTCACAGAAAATGTTTATAATGTTCTATTATCAACAGTAAATGGCAAATGTAGAAACTAAAAATGTTAGCATTGAACTTTTAAGAACAATTTCAGACAAACTTTCCTAAACTTAAAAAATGAAGGGTAATGACTAATATATTTGTGAAGCTGAAAGCATAAAATACAAATATTTAGACATCTTTATTTACTCCTCATGTTATATTTCAAATTATGGAAAAAAAAAAAAAAAATTAAGGGCTTTATATAACTAAAAATGTCTTTAAATATCAAGCTTGTTCAAATAATAAAAAATAATTTGTTTTTTATGACAGTCTAATTTTAAAACAAAAAGTTAATTTAATAAAAATGTTGGATTTTGTTTATAAAGTATTTTAGAAAGTCAGGCAGATTGTATTAAATGAAAATTTGTCTAATTTTGTATTCCAAGAACCATGGAATTAAAATAATTACTACTCAGAATAAGAAACACTCCTCAGTACCAGTCCCAAGCTGGAATGTTCATTAATTATAAAATGCCTTTAAAATTTTTCAGCATCTTTTCCAATTTACTTAGGAGGTAGAATTAAACTTAGTCTATTCAGATTATCAAATATTAGACTGCATCTCATTTTAAAAGTATTAATGTTGTAAAGAGTCTCATGCAACTATTTACCATTCTAGTTTCATACAAAAGACATTTTAATGAGTTAGACTTGGAATCATTTTTTCTCTCCCTTTGATTAGATAAGAAAACATTTAAATTCTGATTCCTTACCATTGACATGGCAAATGATAAGTAGTCAAGGATTAGCGATCTATCAACCGTTTTGTTGTGTTCTTGGCCTTCCAGTTCCAATGCCTCCTGCATCCACATGATTGTATGGTAGAAATCTTGCTGGTTGTAGGCATAACGCCCCAGCTCAAAGCATTCGTCAGCTAAAATACAATGTTCAATAAGTCATTTGCAAGTAGGATCCAGTCTTATGATCTTGCTTTTTTTAGCATTATTAAAGCACCAAAAAAGAAAGAAATAAATAAAAAATTTAAAAAAATTAAATTCTAATAGTTTACTCAAGAAATATTTCAGGATGCTAGAGTTTTTACATAAATAAAGCATTATAAAAATAAATGAAAACTGATCCTTCAAACAGAAGGTTAGCATCTGAAAAAACTTATGCTGATCAGAAAAAGAAATTGATTGCAATAGAAAGACAATGAACCTCAAGATTTGAAGACAAAAAAAACATTACCAGTGAAAGGTGACAACTATTAAAAAAAAAGAAGAAAAAAAGTAGCATCAGTCAAGAGTATCATGACTTAAGACAAGTTTAGTGAAGGAGTTAGTGCAACTTAAAAAGGGAGTTAGGCTGCATAACACAAAATGAGTGCAGCTAATAAAATGCAGTCTGTTTTAATCATGCACTTTGGTCTATGCAAAAACCATGCAATTAAATTTTCAGTTCCTGAAAGTGAGAAAAGCAGTAAGAACTGAATTTTTTTTTTTTTAAATCCATTTTTTCATGTGCTAACATTCAAATTATCCAAGATAGAGAATAATTTTAGTGCCAACTTATTAACTTGCTTAAGGAGCTTCATTTTTAGTAAATTAATATAATTCACTTTATTATTTCAGTTATTTTCTTTTATCATTTAACAATTTGTTTAAATGGAAAAAATAAAAATAATAATGAATTGCTTGTCAGTATCAGATTTCTTACAAAATGCTATAGGTAAACAGTTAATGTAAAAAGAAACATTATATATCTCATACACACAGACTTCAGGTAAGTTCTATCTTAATAGGTGCTTTTTGAAAGCAGACTGAAAAGCAGCAGCAAAACTTAGCAAGAGTTAAGACCAGCTTTCCAAATTTTTAAAAATGTCTACTGAAATGAAGATTACTGTTGAAAGAGGGATTTTAGAAAAATCTATTTGGGCTGTACATTTAAGGATGAAAGCCTTCATGTAATCTGTTGATCATAAACTTGAAATTGGGAAATTTGCTTAAATTTACTTCTATGGTAGAATAGAAAAAAAAAGTAAGGCTCTGAATAGAAGAGGTTCTATCTTAGTAAGAAATTAGTGAAGATCATTGCTTAAACTTGACAAAGGTTAGACAAAGCTTGTGAAACATCCAGATGACAACCATTTAAACTTCATGAGTTATATTATTACATAATATTGTTTTTTTTTCTTCACTCATTTCAAAAAACTAAATCCTATCAGAACAGGTAATTTAGTATTTTTTGTTTAATATTATTCTGAATAGTTACAAAAAAACAAAACAAAACAAAAAAACACTGAAACCACCTCTGAAAATTGATTTCATATAATAGCATGCAATGAGTGCTAATGGTTATAAAATAGTGTTCACTGTATAGTAAGAGCTAAAATTTATACTAATTAAAGTAATTTAATTAAAGTCCATTTAATTATGGATCAAAAGAAAAATATATATTTCTAAAAAGTGGATTATAAATATATATATATATATATATATATATATATATATATATATATATATATAAATAAAACAAAGATTAAAAGAAATACACTTACATACATCCAAGTATCTATATTTGATCAATTTTTAGTATACATTTTAATAGTAGGTTATAAATATTGATATTTAAATTTTACAACAGTCAGTTTTCCATTCTGTGTCTGACAATTGTCATGTGCATGAAAGTCAGTTGTACCAAATAGTGAGGAACTAAATGTATATTATTAGTGTGTATATATAAAATTTGAAACTTTTAAAATTTTAGTTTAGAAGAGAATGTCTTATTTGTTTAGAGAAACAGTATCATGTAACTAAACTGATACTTTACAAATGACTAAAAAAAAAAAAAAAAAAATCACTCCAAATACTGTTTTAAGCCAGGAAAGAATCTTTAAAAATACAAGCTTTCAAATTATGAAGAGAGAAAAAAAGGGACCTAAAAAAATTTTTTTTTTGGGGGGGGGATTAAATGAGAAGACTAGGAAATAAAACATTACAATTATTTTGAGGAAATAGTGAATAATGGAGCAGGAAGGGGTGGTGGTGGTGGAAGATCTTTAAAATTTATAATTTTAGACATGCAGTTTAATAAATAGACTAGCCAAGATCTAGGTGGCTGCTGTTGAGACTCAACATTGAAACAAGTGGGTTAGGTAAAATGCCCCCCAAGAATCTTTACCTTAAAAAACACTTAGGGGGAAAATACTCAAGCCATTAATAAAACATTGTTTGAAAAAATAGAAAGCATAAAAGCTTTATACAGGAAGATTCTTTTAAAAAAATTTTAGATTTAAATATTGGATCATAATCCAATGTTAAAAGCTTTTTTTTTTTTTTAAGTTTATTTACAAACATTTCAATTTTTCAGATACTAGTAGTGCTTTTAGTAGACATCAATCTGCAAAATGGTAAAAAATAGCAGAAAAAATTCTAATGTATGAATGGATGTCAAGCAGGTTCACCTATAAATAATCTTTATGCCAAAAAGCATCTAATGTTTATAAAGCAGAAAGAGTTAGGAAAAAGCAATAATCTTTCTCATGGCAGTAGGATACTATTCAGTTACTATGAAAGGCATGTTTTGTTTTAATAAAAATTGTGTTGAGCATGTCCAAACATTTAGAGACAGAAATAAACCCAGATTTGTACCACACACAATACAATATTCATATTACTCAAAGCAAGTAAAATTCTTTGTTCTTGTAGGATTCTTGGCTGTGAAGGTGGTAAAAGAAAATTACAGATTTTTATCAATATAGACAAAAAAGATTTTCAACCAGTTTCTCAACACATTGATCTTGAGTACATACCTTATAAGTAGCAAATGATAAGTAATCCAATAAAGTATCTTTAGTGATTGTTTTATCTTTTTCTTTATCATAACGTATCATTGCTTCATCCATCCACAGAATGGTGTGGTAATAGTCGTCAGAATTGTATGCTATTCTACCCAACTCATAGCAGTCTGCAGCTGGAAAAAGCAATCGGTGTCGTGCGGTTAGTGAAGAAAGATAAAAGAGGAGAGTTAAAAGTTGCGGTTAGGAGAATGGAAAGGTTATTAATTAAAAAAAGACTTTAATATCAAGATTCATGCTGATTTGGGTACTGTCTCAGAAAATTAAGTCTAAATTAAGCATTTATTGATTTATGAATATAAAAAAAATTAAAATCAGTCTAAATTAAATATTTCTTTGCTATAATAATAACTTGGATCCAGTGGTGGATTAACTATTCTTAGAATAAACAGAATGGAAAATGTTACAACATACACCCGAGTAGACGCCTTTCATGTGTAGATATTAATAATACTGTTTTGCTTTCTAAATTAAATTCCAAACAAACATGTTTTTAGCAGACTTGATGCTTCAGCAGCAATAACTTTTTCAACCTAGTTGATAGATAATCTCAGCTTAAAAAGAAACCTAAGTAGCAGAATAATTTAATCACTTGAGACATGTAAAATCCATTCTCCAAGAACATGATGAAACACTTGTTTGGGTTAATGATAAAATTCTCATTTTTTTTTCCTCTCAAATAATCAAATATTTAAACTTCCACTGCAATATTACTATTATTTTATTGCTGTTGTTAATTTAGATATAAAAAAAAAAAAAATCTGATATATAATCATCAGCTTCATATAACTGCTTTATAAACAACATTTTCAGTTTCTTATTCTTTCCTTTACTCACACATTAGCTTTTAGCTAGGTACTTCCACTTTTTCAGCATAAATTTTTGATACCTAAGGTTTAAAATGAATTTTTAAAAATGAAAAAGCATTCTTGAAGATTTCATTTTAGCTTTAATTGAAAATTAAATGATTAAATTTATTATTTCCAGTAAGTAAAATATTCTGGTGTATTTCAGATAGAAATTATATAGATTGGAATGTCAAATACTTGCTAGATATTTTTTTTAAATTCTTAAAAGCAGCCATTTTCTTATTTTTAAAAAATTTGCAAACAAAAAATTTTCAGTTTTAAAAATCTTCCTAAAATAAAATGTATATATGTAACATGTTATTTGAGTAAAATTATCAAATTTAAAGTTACATTAATCTGATTTGAAATAAATATCACTTACTTATAGCATAAAAAAAAAGTACTATACAAGAACTTCTTAATGATTGGTCTTGTTTATCTGAGGTGATAATTGATGGATGATTGAGTGACAAAGTGATGATAGCTAGTATGGCTGACCAGAATTGACAAACTTACGAAATCAAAGTGAAGAAAATTTTTTTCATTTTTAACTACCTAGTAATTATCTGATATTTTATTGACCTTTAGTTATGTTTGAAGATGTTTTATGAAAAAAAAAAAAAAAAAAAAAAAAATTGAAGTACTATAAAATTTTCTTAAATTAATTTTAAAATTTAATAATAGATGAAATTAAAATAAAGATAAGCAATAAAATCAACAGTGATAAAGATTTTTTTATAATAATTAAAATATTGTTTAATCATAATTAGTTAATAAATTTTAATTAACATCAGCTAAAAAAAACATTTTTCTATTTTCTTCAAGCCAAGCACATGACCTTTTCATAATAATGACATGTTTAGGCTATCATAGATGAAAAAAGGGAACAAAATATTATTTTAAAAATAGAATAGTAAAATGACTTATTAATTTTTTCAATTTTGGATTTGTGAATTTAATTTCCACTTAATTGCAATATCACATCCAGGAAATAGCACAATTACAGAATTTTAAATGACTTGAAATATTATAAACTATTATAATTAAAAAAAAAAATAAAAAAAAATAAAAAAAAAAAACATGAAAATTCTTGTAAAAATTCATTATTCATCAGAAAAATTTTATTTCTTCAGACAATAGTGTCTTTAATATAACTTATTTACAAAAGTAATTAAAAGTATTGCATTTATATTTTTTTCAATTAAGAACAGATTTTCAGTTAGAATAGTGAAAGTTTGAAAAAAAAAAAAAAAAAAATGTGATTTACATTCTCCAAGTAATCCTACTTTTAACAAATAAAAAAATTCAGGAAATAGAAAGGTATTTTGTGAAATTTCATGAAATTAAGTGGGGAGTAACATACGTTAAAAAAAAAAAATTTTAAAATAATTTCATTTGTGAATAAGTCCTGAAAATTTCATTAAAATTGGACAATTCAAATCCATGTGTTTTCAATGGAAAAAAAACACAAAAAAGTCAATGTAATTATTACAGCACCCTGATGACATAAACAAAACAAGATTTTAACCAAAATTTTGAACGTTAAAAATGATTAAAAAAAAAAAAAAAAAAACTGCTTTGGTCTTTCATCTTACTAATAAACATTTTGACAATAAAACTTTATTTTAATTAAGTTTGTGGCCTTTTTCATTACACTATGCTGTTTTTCGTGAAAAAGTGGGAGGTACCTACTTTTAGCTATTTCACAAAGGCAGCATTTAAAATGGCACAGAAAAAGTTGCTTTTCTTGAATCAATAAAGAAGTTATTTCCCTTTAAAGAATTGTTCCATCCTCAGGGAAATGCTACGTTAAATAAAATCATAAAAATCCAGCCACATTACATTAGATAACAAATCAGAAAATACCTAACTTATTTTCAGTTGTGAGCCAGATTTTAAATTGAGACAGCATCACCAGAAACTAAGAAATAGCAATTAACATGTTATGGGAAGAGAAAAAATATGTATTCTATTTTGGAACCAGCTTTTTTTTTGAATTTGTATTGGAAATGTCATTAATAACATTTTTTGTTGCAATACAGATTTCATGTGTTAGTTGATATCATCCATTATGTTTGATTTAAAACAATTTATTACTTTAATTTTTAGTGCTCAGGATATTTTAAACTTGCAAGGTTCAAGAGAATTCAGTCCATTTACTACAACCGAAATGATGTGACATGCATAGTACCAAAACAAAAATTATAAAATACAAACATGCAATGTTCTAAGGTGAACAAACATTATAATTAATTGATACAAAGCATTGATGATTTTCATTAATTAGATAGAAAAATGTTTAATTTTACACCCTTTTTTGTAAACCTCTCAATGGATCAACAACATAAATTTTATTCTAGAGACAATGTTTGGCAAATTCTTATTGGAAAATACAACTACAATTTTACCAACAGTTATGCATTTAAAATTTGATAGAATCCTTGAGTTACATTGCATTTTTAAAAATGTTTAATTGTTCTTTGCATACAATTTCACTTTAAATAAAAAAAAAAAAATAAAAAAAAAAATCCTTTTTATCTGTTATTTAAAAGAGCAAAGATTGATTGCAAATAACTGAATTTTAAAACTTCACATTTAAATTTTAACTATTTCACATTCAAAGATAGCATTATTTAAATCTTTAAATTATTCCATTTCAAGTATTTTTACTTAAAATCTGAATATGTCATCAAAAGCATGTCATTTTGGATTTTTTTTTTTTTTTTTTTAATCAGAACTGATTTCAGATTAGCTAAAACTCTTCAGCAATTTAACTGACCTAATAAGGGAAGTTAAACATGTCCTATAAAGACCTTGTAATAATCTGAAAGCTATAAGATTATAATGTTGCCTTTAGATTAGATTGACTTGCATACTGTAAGACAACATAGGCTATTTAAAGACTTAATTGGGAAAGGAAAGTTGGGATAGATATATCAAATCTTAGAAGTAATAAGCTTGGGATAATCTAAACCAATTTAGAAAGACTCCTGTTAAAGTGTGCAGGGCAAGAATAAAAGTTGTAATTCAAAATTAATTTGAAAAGTTAAAGTTTGCCATTTATGTAGGATAAAGAAGTCAGTAATAAAAATAGTAAATTGGAAATGTCAAAATAGATAAAATAGAAATGAGTCAAGCAATAACAAAATTAGAAAAAAAATACTTTGATGTTTACTTTGTATCATATGATGTTGAATTCAACTACAAATTTCAAAATGAAGGACACTACCACCCAGCCAAATAAGGTGGGGGTGTTAAAGCAAGAAAACAAGCAAGCATAGTTATGAAAAGATTTATCATGCAGACAATAATGGTCATATAAAAACAGCTAAACATTACCACAGAATGAGGTTAGTGAAAAAGTGAAATATGGAGATAAAAGATGGTGGTGAAGAAGGGAAAAAAATATTGATAATTCAAACTATATATATATATATATATATATACACACACACACACATTTTATGAAACTTATATAAAGTTTGTGTACCCTTGTCCTGTTCACATTTGTTTGCCTTTTGTCACTACCCACAAAGCAGAATTATTAGAATCTTTTTTATATCTTTTTTTTTTTTTTCATTACTTTTGTATAATATTGAATTTCTCTTAAAATAATTTCATATTTAAAATTTATCAAGCCAAAGAAATTTATGTAAAACAAAAACTTCCTTAACCTGAGCAATGTAAAATTAACTTAAAATATATCCAACCTATTTAACCCAATGCAATATACTGTATGCTAGTGACAACACAATTTGGATTTTCACTCATTTCAATTTTTACTATAAAAACCAGCAGACCATGACTCTTGCTACAAAACAAGAGTCTCAGAATAAATGGGCTTTGAAAGCATACAATCTGACCTGCTTCCCTCATCCAAGGTTCATCGTTTTGGTTTTTTTGTTGCTGTTTTTTTTTCTTAAGCATTACCATTTATCTTAGGTATTCCCCAGAGAAGCAGGGTTTTTATAAAAATCTACTTAAAATTTTCATTACTCTCTGAATAAAAAAAATCTATATCGTGGAAATATTTTAAAGATTAAGAGAACATTAATTTTTTTTTTTTTAATAAAAGCTAAAGACTGAATATTAAACTAAACAGAGCACAACATATAAATTTAAAAAAAGTTTATCTTTTAACATATTTACAGTAAACTGGTTTAACTTTTCATCTTATTACATGAGTGATATGTTCACCCATGTCAGTTACACAAGACCAGCCATTTTACTGTTAGTAGATATGGGGCAATACAAACACTGAAAATATACAAAGTTATGTGCTCAAATGAAAAATACCATTATATTTTATTCACCAATTTGAAGCCTGACAAATTTATTAAGTGTCAATATAAAAATTGATTAATCTAATTCATGCAAGTGGTCATAGAAGTGATTCTTGTTTAGCTTTTCTTACACAAAAACACATGCACAACTAAGATCTTCACAAAACAATCTTTAATAGAAAAAGAATGAAGATATTGGTGATAAAGTCATTATGAACAAAACTGCTAACATTGAAAAGCTTCAGTTGATAGTGAATAATGAATTACAGAGTAAAATATGCTGGAATAGAAAAGAAAGTTGATCATATATCATCAACAGGTATTAGAAAATCTAATAGTCTATTAATTGAATGTTAGCTTGTTCAATCTTCCAGAAGATAGAAAGAGGGAAGCAATTCATTGGGAAAAAACAAAAAGTAAAAGAAAAAACCTTTCAGAGTAAAGATTAGTCAGGCTTCAATAGAACTGAAGCTGAAATTGTAAAATTTAAAACTCAAAGTTGATTCCATTTATCAAATACTGAAATTAGAATAAATTTTTGAAAATGTAAATATCTTAATTCAAATTTTGATTGCCTCAAAAACACATTAAACTAGTAATTTACCAACTACATATTTTGTTAGGCATTAGCAATATGTATTACTATATATTTATTTCAATGGATTTGCCAGGCATTATTTCTAATGTCCAAGTAGCTATCTGTTTATTTATTTTCTTAAACAGAAATTAATAATAACAGATTGAGAAGTTCTACTAAAGAAAGATTGTGCTTCCTTAAATAAGTAATTCAAACCTTGCTATATTAACACAGCCTCTGTAAATGAATTGGCAAAGGTACATTTCTGCTATAGAAAAGGTTTTTCCAGATTGAAAAAAAAAAAAAAAAAAAAGAGGATACGGGTTTGATTTCTGTTGGAGGCACAATCTTTCTTTAGGACTTTCAATCTAAACCTGTTTTATTAATTTCATAGCAACTCAAATAGATGTACCCACTAAAAATAACATTTATAGTAATAAAGAAATATATATATATATATATATAGTATGGGACATAAGAACAATCTATCCATTTGGATTGATTAAGAGCTTTGGGTCAATGTTCCAAGAAGGTTATTTATTGAGTGTGACAGGCAACTGGAGAGAACAACAGCTGAAATGTTTTTTTTCGTATGACCACCAAAATGATCATACTCAGCTGAGTGTAAATACATCTAAAAACTAATTGCTTTAATATAGGTGGATTTTTGTTGTCTCATTTGAAATTGGAAAATTATATTCAAACCAAGTTTTTCAACGTTAGTTTTGAAGGGAAAAATTTAAATATTACCTGTAAGTTCTACTGATTTCACTCCACCCAACTCTCCTCTTGCAATTTCAGAAGCATCCAACTGATATGTATCTTGTAAACGAAGTAAGGCTGCAGCAGCACCATTCAGATCTTCATAGTCAGGGAGTTGTTGTCTTTTGATATCTATAGTTGCTGCAACCTCTGGAAGAAAAAAAAATTGATGGCTGCAAATCAAGTTTTCATATATAAAAGTTCTAAAAGGCAATGATAAATTTAAGCTGATCTCACAAAGTTGGAAGCTATTGTAGATATTGACATATATGAAATGGTTAGCATGTTAATAGAACCCTGAATAAAATGATAGCTTAAAAGAAACAAAATTAGTTTAGGTATTGGTAACTAAAGTTTTATTTTTTTTGTTTATTTTTATCATTGACATTTTGTTTTATCTTTCATCATCTTTAGAAGAATTTGATCTCAGAGATTGTTGTTTTTTTTCCTCTCTCGTCTCAATAAGAGAATTGCATTTATAAAAAAAAAAAAAAAAAAAAAAAAAAAAAAAAAATTATATATACAATCCTAAAGGCCCAATATCTGCTGAATATGGTGGAGGAGAGAGAGAGAAAACATTGGCAAAGATTAAGCAATCTGTGGGATTTTTGCTTAGGTAATTCTTGCCACTTTAGGGATTCCTTTAAGGATCATTAACAATTATACTTTAGTAGATGGAAGTGGTTACATTAGAATTTTAGGAGTCTGTAGGACTACTTTGGTAAATGATTTTTTGGTATTGTGAGAAATTCTTTGATATATCCCCCCCCCACTGATGTTTTGAAACAGTTTATAGTTTGTTTTTGTTTTTTTGGGGGGTGGGGGGGTCAGTTTTGTGTGTTTTTGCAGTAGCTATAGTTTTTCCTAGTGTTTTGATTTCTTTTATAAATATCAGTCAGTCATCTAGTTCAAGTTTCAGTAGCCTCTCAATAAAAGCTTTGCATTTATCCAATTAGAATTGATGAATTCTGTGCAATGATGGTGTCTTCTATATTTAAGATGTCCTCATCTTTCCTTCAAATTTCACATGTTCATGCATGTGCTGAGTATACTAAGACATTCAATTGCTGTGTCACATTCTCCATCAAGGTGGTCAGGGTCTTTGTGTGTATCTCTGACATGTTGGTCACATCCTACATTTGCCTTTGTGATGTCTGTATTTCTCTGTAGCATCTTAGAGCAGTTTCTCAACAGTAGAACATTTTGACTTATGGGTGTTGAATGTAACTGTGCCTGTCTTCAAATTACCTTACCTTCCTTGTTATGCTTCTAAAGTATAATACTTTTACTTTTGAGACCCATTTTTATCTTGGCCAATGTGCAAGGGGATAGTTCAGGGTTTCTCACTTTGCCCTTGTGTTTAGCAGGAGACCTGTTTCTATTTTTATATGTAAAATAGACTTTCGAACAATGTCCCTCCCCTCCACACACAAACCAAAAGATTTAATTTTTTTTTTTTTTTTTTTTTTTTTAAACTGTCTTTGTAAGTTATATGTGAGGATTGAGCTTTTTCTATAATGAAGTATTATAGTATTGACTAGGGAATGCACAACCATTAATTCAACATTAGAAATATTGTGAATCCTAGCAAGCCTTGTGCATCATTTTCACTATCTGAATGAATGTTAACATCATACCTCCCCACTTGGGTTGTTTTCATTTCAGCAGTTCTTTGTATCAGTGCTATCAAATACTTTATTGGTGTCATTTTTTAAATCTTCATAGCCATCAGCAAGCTGGGAAGTAACCAGATTCTATGGGAATTTCACCCGGTAGTTATTTTGATTCTGTGGAGATTTTGGATGTGAAATCCTCACAACCATGGTAAATTCTTTGCTGATTTCAAAACACAAACTGTTGATGTCTAACAATGGGTTTAATGATAATAAATTGAAGAATTTAAAAGTATATAATGAGTAAAGAATTATTAATCTATTTGAATTATTAATCTATTTGATCTGGTTGACAGTCTTTCAGCATGAAAATTATTCTATCAATAATTTGTAATAAACGAATTACTCCGAGCATCAGGGATTAAAGCCTGGACTTAGCCTATCTTGTGTCCCTGAGTTTATATAAAAAAAAAAAAAAACACCCTCTGGCATTGATTTACTGCATGTTTTTCAAGAACATACCATGACCTTTCTTTGTTTCAAAAACACATGGCCTTATGTGGAATGCATTAATTCCCAAAACCTCTAAAATTGGACTTAGTAAGCTATAAACATGTTTGAAGTTTGATAGTGCCTCTGAAAATTGGGTACGTTGGAAGATCTAGTCTTACTAAATATTATTGAATTTTACTTCATTTATTTCAGGTTCAAATCATCCCAGAGCCTTCTAATTATTTTTAATTCATTCTTTCCTTTTTTTCTCCTTGATGCTTAATTATTTTCTCAGAGTTTTCTCAGTTTAATCTTAATTATTCCCTGCTTGAAATTGTCATTAGGAATTCCCATGCATTAAAAATTTGAACAAGGGTTACCATTCTGTTATATTAGCATGTAGTTGCTAGGGTAGTTTATTATATGCCATATTTTTTATTGATAGCAGTTATTGTCTATGTTCCTCACCAATCACAATATTGGGGGGAAAGAAAAAATAAATCAAAGGAAATCCATTCTCTTTGACAGGGATATACAGACAATATACTTTTATTTGAAGAACTGATTGAACTTCAGGAACCACCACCTGATACAAATGAAAAATCAGTTTTATGTTGATCTTCATGGTATTTGCATTGATAATGGGTGAATATATATATATATATATATATATATATATATATAAAAAGAAAGAACAGTAAGATATATAATCCGGTGTTCTTATTGATATTTTTTTAGTTTTATTTTTACAAAACATTGCTCAATGTAAATTTACAGAGCATAAATATTATAAATTAGCTGATTTAAAATGTTTTTTTTTTTTTTCACTACACAGTAATAACCATGTTTCAAAAACTGAAGCTAAAAAACTTCAAATTTAATTATATAATTAAATTAAAAGCATTAGTTCTGTTTCATCTTCAAGCGAATATTGGAATAACTTATTTTTAAATTACTGAGTTTTAAATGCACACAAATTCATAATTTCCTGTTTCCAATGATACAGAGAAATCCAATCATTCAGATGGATGGTAACGTGTTCATTTTTATTAACTATTGTTGTATCAATTATGAGTTACGTTTGTAAAAGAGGTTAAGTTTAGGGAGAGTAGGGGTGTATTTTTCAACATTTTTTTTTTTTTTTTTTTTTTTTTTTATTAAGGGCAAAAAGTTTTTCATACTTGTATACTTAAAAGATTCAATCTTGTGGTGTTTGGGTTAGAATACCTTTTATTTAACTACAATTTTAAAATATTTTTTACTCTTAATTACTAATAGACTATATTTCTTTTTAAAATGAGTAAATGTAATAGAATTACTTAAATTATTTAAAATTACTTTTTCTTATCAAATATAAGTATGTATATTCCCAGCTCCCATTTTTAATTTTATTTTAAATTTTATTGTTGAATATTATTTAAGGAAAATTTTTGACAATGATGGCAAAAAATAGTTATTTCATTTCTCTGATTCAGTAAATTTTTATAAACTTAGTAATATATAGTTTCTTATGTATGCACAAAGGACATGGGTCATTTAATGACCTACAAATTCTAGCTTTTCTTATTAATTTCCATTTTACTATAGGTTTTTATTGGATTCTTTTAAGTGCCAGAAATATTTTGAAAGAGGTCTAATTTCTGTATTCATTTATTTATCCTAAATGAAGTTTGAAGTTGATTGAATCTCTTTTTGAACTCATGGCTTGTGCAACCTATATAGATTTTTATGTTTTCAGGATTCTCAATAGATGAGATATTGCATTGGTATACTAATGATTCCGTGCAACATTTATTTTGTAGAGGACAGTTATGAGGGTTTCTACAGTTACATAATTTTTGTTTATCTTCATCTCTTTATTTTTATATTGTCTAAATTTCTTTGGTTTTGGTCTAATTGTTTATTAAAGATATTAGCATTATGTTTCTTAATAATTTTTTCTAAGTTTTCAGTACAGCTGTAACTTAATTTTAATGTATTTTTATTGAAAATAGTGCTTAACTATTAATGCATGGAATTTATGTACTAATTTGTTCTTTACCATTTGGTTGTATGAGGGTGTATACCAAATTATTTTTCTATTTTTATTTTTCTATGCTTTCCATTTTCTTTTATACAAGTTAGTTTTGGGTTTTTGTAGCCACTATTAGAGCTTTATTATAGAAATTAATAGGTTTATAGAAAATCTTCTCATTTGCTGAATTTGTACTTATTCTTTTTCCGATAGATAAAGGTATATGCTTAATTATAAATGGAAGATGATTTGATTTAGAGTGTATATATAAAGTATTGATATTGGGTTTTTTTATAAAGGTATGTATACATTTTTCATTAAATCTAATGTTAGATCAAGGAAGTTAACTTTTTTTAATTTAGTGCTTACTGTAATTTTTAAGTTCAGGCTTTTAAATTCATTATATAATATCTTATATATATATATATATATATATATATATACACAAACAGGTAGGCCACTTCTTTGTGATAGTTCCCCCTCTGAAGGGTATGCAGTTGGCATATAGGGACATCTTTAATGCTTCTATAATTAAAATACAGAGATATAAGGAAAATTACAAAGTGGAAATAATTTTTCATGCGACACATTTCATCCTTTAGCACTCCACTGAACTAAAGTTAAAGTAAGTGCTCATGCACATGAAAGAGAGATGCTTTAAATCAAGATATATTTTGATGGCTATTTTAGGTAACATTATTAAATCACTTCATCTTATTAAAAAGATCAGCTTCAAGAGAACTTGATAACAGCTTTTATCCTCATGGCAAAAAATAAAATTTTATAAATGAAGACAAAAGTAGCAATCTTCTTCTATAGAAAATATAAGCATCAGAATTGAATAAAATTATCAGTTCACTTGCATGAATACAAGAGACATTTAGTAAGGACAAATTTAAAAGCAACCCAAGCAAAAAAATAAAAAAAAATAAATATCAGAGAAAGCTACAAAGTGAATAAAATGTCAATCTAATAACACAGAATTGCAAAATTGGAAATAATTTGAATACAGAGAAGAATGAAGTTCTTAAAGGAAGTCAATAGGAAACTACCAAGTCTCAAAAACTTGTAAAATCTAAAGCATGCATATCCGGTTTGAAATTCAAATGAAAAGCAACCTTGATAACTTTAAACAAATATCAAACTACTTTGCCATGGATTTTTCTCTACTTCTTAGTTTATCTTTGTAAACTCTATTCAATAATTAGAATCATTTTCCTGAAAATAAGTTTAAAAAATGTTCAAACGTTTGTAAACATCAGTTTTGATTGTAATTATAAGTTTCAAACGTATTTTACACATGAATATTATGAAGCATCAATATCCTAGAAATATTTGCTTATGAAACAAGAAACAGTATTCAGAATTATACATGTACTCATATTTCATTTGAAACAACTTTGTATTTTCTGAAATTTTGTAGATAGGTTCACACTTGCCTTAAAATGCACAAATGAAATCAATTTCAAACATATTGAGAAAATAGTTTGAAAACAATTATTCAAAAAACATTTATTTGAATTGTAAATTGTTTGAATGAAAATTGAAATACCCATGTTGAAATACATATGCTTTGAGAGAGTCAATGCCGATTTACCTAGAACTAATAATGCCCTTGAAGGATGACATTGGAGTTTTTTGCAGCAAGTGTCAACCCATCATCCCACAATATGAAAATTCTTGGATGCTCTTAAAAGAGAACAGAACTTGTAAGAAATTCATATTGCAAAAATAAGGGCAGGTTGCCAAAATATCAGGAGCATTAAAAAAATAATGTAAATGGGAAACAAAAAAATTAGTGACAATCTTTAATGTTTACATGCAGTATCATAAGTTAAGGTTATCAGGATTTTTTTTCTTATTAAATTATTTTATTAACGATATTTTTATTTCAAAATTATCATTTATGTATTTCCTCTCTTAAATGTTCATAATTATTTCAAGTGTTTCATTTTGTTTTTATATACAATTCTAAAAACCAAAAAAAAGATGAAAACATGAAAGAGCAAGGGTCATGCAAAATACACACAAATTAGCAAGAAGCAAAAGCTATCAGGGTAGAACTACAGCCTGACAGATTTGATCTGAAATCCCAATGATGGATTTGTTTTCTATGGCTATTTCACCCATTACAGATTATTTAAAGCCAGAAAATATTTTTAGATTGGAAGGTTTTTTTTTTTTTTTTTTTTTTTGGAGATAATGATTTAGTGATACAAGTTTTACTAATTAATCCATAGCAGGGGGAGAAGAGGTGGATTCCTACTTTTCCCAAGGGTGTGCACATAATGAACCCAACTGGAATTGGAACTCAGCTCCCCAATCAACAATTTGGAACCATTATTCATTACAGCACATGGTATTCCCAAATGTATGATCACTGAAGCGATAATGAGCCTGGTCAGTACCAAGATGGGTAAACCCATCTAGGTACTGATCAGGCTCAACATTGCTTAATTTTGGTGATCATACAGGCTCCAGTGTTTCAACACCATATGGCTGTAAGCCTCTGAAATTCTACTGTATAATGTCAAATACATATGATTAACATTCATCATTGAATTCATCTTTGTTAAGGCACTTGTACTTAAAATAAGCCTTTGTCATCATAAGGCTACGTACTTATTGTCTTAGCTGTATAAATCTCAGCACTCCATTGTTAGTATGTATAGTTCACAAGTAGTTAGTTATTCACCTAACAAAAAACAGTATATGACCATCAGATCATAAAATCATAGATAGTTGATGCAATTGCTCATCTTGTGACCTAATTTGCATAACGTGATTGTTCAAACAAATTTTTTGTTTAGCATTTTAGCAGATTCAAAATAGTTACAGCATTCTTTGAAATGAATTTGCTTTTTTTCTTTTTTGAAAGTATCTTAAAATTTTAAGCCACAATTTTATAAAATGTTCTAAAATTATTCAACAACTTTCAAATGAGAAAGTATTAAAACAAATTTGACTTCTTAAAGCAAAGTACAGAAAACCTTCAAAAACAAAAATTAGGAAAATTATAAATAGGATGTAGTAGTGGCATGTCAAAACATTTTGAAAAGCATTCAGAAGAGAAAAAAAATTATAAAAAGGAGTTGGCAAAACAATTCTAGAGAAAAAAAATGTTCAAAAAGAAAATTTTGGTACTCTTACCAACTTTTCATAACTTGAATAACAATGATAAAAATGTAGATGAAAAGATCCGATATTTAGAAATGTTTCTCCACTGTCAAATAAAATCTGGGTATATTAACCATTTCTGTCTCAAGTGGAATAAAATTGTCACGTATAGGATTCAAATAAAACAAGAGATAGTAATCTGGTTAAAAAAAGAAGCTAGCTTTTCAATGATCAAAAGCATTTAAAAGTTCATGGAATAAAGTTGATTGGGCTTTAAAACTTCTTTTTTTTTACCACTTAAGAGTTAATGGCCATTTTAAATAAAATCTAAAAAGCTGAAATACAGTGAGAACATTAGGGAGACAAAGCCAGCAAACTCACCATTTGTGATGTTGTCTTTGAGTAAGTGGAATGTTTTTTCCCAGTCTAAAGTAAATCTTTTCACAAGTAAAAATGCATTTACAGGATTACCAAGGTAAAAGTCTGGATTTTCTAATGCATGAGCACTATGATCTTCATAATCTTCAGCAAGTCTGAAAGAGAGAAAGAAAAATGTTAGAATATTTCTGTAAATATAAAAAAACAAGAAATATACACAATAAATTTAGCACTTTAATAGTTCATGCAGGAAAGATGTTCCAAATTTATATTTGGATATAAAAAAGTATCTATGAAGGACAAAAATTATATGAGGTAAAATTTATCTCTTGAAATAGATTTAAAAAATCTTCATTCTTTGTAATCAGTCAACTATAGCCACAGAAATAATTTAGTTAATGAAGAAGATGGATAAATGAAATAAAATATTGATATCTGAAAGGAAATTTTAGCCATTTAACAAATTAGGGCATGGTTGATTAAGCAAGCAATCAGGTTAATGTAATGAAAGGTAAAAGTACCAAATACATTTCATTTCTTCAATTGAAGCCATCAATCCAGATAAAATGTTAAAGCAAAATGTTTTAGACAAAGAATATAGGTTAAAATGCCAGAGTTGCTATCTGCAAGAGAGAAATTCCTTGATTTAAGAGCAATGCCAAATATTAGCAGCAGGACAAGTCACAAGAGATCTGGAGAAGAACTGAACCAAATTGGAAGAAAGAAGCCATCTGATCTAAATCAATTTGTAGAAAGGAATACCAAAGATGGAATCAGTACAGAGTAAGGTAATCATTTTAAATGTAAGGCAGAAATCCATTTTCCAAAACTACTTGGGGAACAGCATTCTGGTTTGGCATCCCTTAAAATAGAAACCTTAAATTTTCTTTATTTTAATCTCTTAGAAAAAGCTGATCCAGAATAATGCAAGTTACTAAAGTCAGGGAAGTGGGGAGGGAAGCTTTTGTTTTTAAAGTCTGGCAAACAGCTATTCTAGTGTCATTTCCTCTTCCAACAACCAAATGTCAAAAGTTATACAGCAAGTCATTTTGTTTTAAACTTTAAATTAATCAAACTGCTTTGAAAAAGAATAAAATGTCCTATAGCTGTTATCTTAATTTGAATTCCATTTTAAAAAGATCACCTGACCCACTTTTGTAATTCAAAAAGTCAAGATAATAGGTTCCAGAAAGTAAAAGAATTTACTCATTTTAGTAACAAATTCTTATTTTAAAACTAGTCCATGATGCACACCACACATATATAACTTACTATCTTAATCATTCATATGCATGAATACCTTTTCAGGAAGCCAAAATTTAAAGATTTTGGAATGGAAAGAAAAATTCTGATCTTGTTAAAAATAGATATGCTTATAAGAATAATAGCAAGCGCCCCCAGCCCCAAATAATTTCTGTAATCTGAATATTGGGATAATGATAAATTATAGTTAAAAAATATATAAATGAGAGACGATAAGAGTTAAGAGAAACTATGTTATTTGCAAGTGCAATTTTTTTTTTTTTTTTATTTAAATCACACATGAGAATGGGACAGCGGGAAGAAATTATTTTGGTCAGTTTTTCTTGCAGAACATTTGAGAAATTAAGAAAGTAAGCAACTCATTTATTTCCCTGGATGGACTACCATAAGATTGAGAAGGAATGAACAATGAAATTATAAACAATGAAATATATATACTGGATGTAACAGGAAAATTGTCCAAATTGTGTTACAGCATAATTATCCATCCCACAAAATGTTTATATATATATATATATATATATATAACTAAACAAATTGAGTTTATTTTTCCAGGTTTTCCGATAAGACGTTTAGCCATCTTGATACTATTTTTCATAAGAATCACTGAAAAACACAGTTATTCAGCTAAAAAGAGAGCAGGTTAAAATTGTTTTGTGTCAGACCCACTGTCCTCCCAACTGAGCAATGGTGAGAGGAAAAAGATTATTCAAGCCTTCAGTAATGGTACCAACATTCATACTCTGGTTTCCATCTTCAAAGTCCATTAAGAGAATGGTGAATAAATTTAAAAAAAAGAGAGGAAAACTGAACCAAGACGTTACAACAGGAAGAGGGATCATCATTTCAATTTAGAGCTAAAGAGATTAATTAGAAAAGATCCAACTCAATTCATAAGATGTTTAGCACATGAGAGAGGAGTTTCAGCTATGACAGCTCAAAGAGCAGTGAAAAAAAGACTTGAAAATGAAATCCTATGTGAAATGTGTGAGGCACCTTATCGCTCCAGGACAGAAAGTTAGGTTAGAGAAGGCGAAGATCATATTGAATAAGTTGAAAAATTATCCTGGAATTATATTTGAACTTTATTTCAATATTTCATGAGCTTCTGATCTTTAGCTATAATTAATGATGAACATGTCATTTTCATTCAATTTTCTCATGATTCTTCTGTTAAGCTTGGAGATTAATTAAACATTTTTATTGCTCAAAGAGTCCACTAGCATTATAAAAACTTCAGAGGATTCCAGTAAGATATCTTTAATCATTTCTAAGATACTATCGTTCGAAGCTTAATCTAACAATTGGACAATTTTGCCGTTACATCCCGTATATATATCTAAAAGAGAAAAGAAGGAATAAGGAGACAAGAAAATTATGAAAAAGAGAAATAGTCACAATATTCTGCTCATATGCATACACACACACATAGGAGGGGGAAAAATTCAACAATTAATAAAAACTGCATAAATTATTTTTGAGCTTTAAAAAACTGCATAAATTATTTTTGAGCTTTAAAAAACTGCATAAATTATTTTTGAGCTTTAAAAAACTGCATAAATTATTTTTGAGCTTTAAAAAACTGCATAAATTATTTTTGAGCTTTAAAAAACTGCATAAATTATTTTTGAGCTTTAAAAAACTGCATAAATTATTTTGAGCTTTAAAAACTGCATAAATTATTTTTGAGCTTTAAAAACTGCATAAATTATTTTTGAGCTTTAAAAACTGCATAAATTATTTTGAGCTTTAAAAACTGCATAAATTATTTTAAAAACTGCATAAATTATTTTTTGAGCTTTAAAAACTGCATAAATTATTTTTGAGCTTTAAAAAAACTGCATAAATTATTTTTTGAGCTTTAAAAAACTGCATAAATTATTTTTTGAGCTTTAAAAACTGCATAAATTATTTTTGAGCTTTAAAAAACTGCATAAATTATTTTTGAGCTTTAAAAAACTGCATAAATTATTTTTGAGCTTAAAATAAAAGTAACAAGAATGAGAAAATCAGCAGTCAATTGCTGATACCACCTGAAAAATTTTATATTTGTATTAATCCTATATATCTCACAACTTAAAAATGTCCCTTCTTTAAAAATAACTAATATTTTCATGAAGTAAAAAAAAAAAAAAAAAATTTTAACATTTAAAGTGGTAATTGATTTTCTCCATTATAGAACATTCTACTTAGACTATTGTAAAATTTAAAAAATGGAAAAGAATCTAGGGTTGCTAGCTAACCCATGTGGCAGATGCCTGCTCAACCACATGTGTTTCTTTAACACCTACAGAGTCAACTTTTGATTTATACTCCAATTATTCTGAGCAGACCTGTGGGAGAATTGGTTGAAATCACCCACAAAAAGAAAAAAAATGCATACAAGTCCAATAGGCAAATCAATTCCACCATTATCCCTCAGGCATTTCCCTGATATGTGCACTCCAATGGTATGTGTCTGATCTTATCACATTTAAAACACCACATCTCACGGCAGATCCTTCACGCTCACTTATCCAACTCCTTTGAACACCCTGCATACAGTATCTAGCCATATGGTTAGAACCAGAGCACCTGTAGCAAGCGACCACCTCTCTGCGGAAGGTAGTGGGACAACTTTCTTGTCTGTACACGTTTGTTGTGCAGACACTGTGACCAAACCCTTGTGCTCCTTGTCATCAGTCATGATAGCTCGAGCCCAGGTTAGCAACTGCTCCACAGTCTCAGTCTATCCTAGATAACACCTAGAGTAGCTGCCTAACATGTTGCGGCAGACCAGATAGGAATGTGCATGCCATCCAACATTCAGACAGCGATTCTCCTACCAGCCAAGCCAGGCAATGCAATTCAGACAAAAATTCTTCTACAGTTTCATCCCATCAAAGATGTTGTGTCATGAATTGGTCAAATGCATCTGTTGTGTATGCAGTCATAAGGGCCTGTTTGATCTGTTTCAGATCTGCCCTCTGTTCCTTATTCAGTTGCCGATACACGGCAAGAGCACCACCTTGCAGTCATAGCAGCAAGACACACTACTTTGTCCATAGCACAGTTTGCAGACTAACCCAATGTTTTTGATCCATTCTACAATCAGCAAGTTGGTCACAGCACTGCTGACCTCTGGAATCAGCTAGATACCAAAGGCCTTGTCCAACATCATGAAAATGGAGGAAAAAAAAAAAACAAAAAAACAAAACAATTGCTGAAATAACTCACAGAAAAAAAAAAATGTATACAAGTCCAATAGGCAAATCAATTCCACAATTATCTCCATTCCTCAGTCTCAAGTACGCAACTCCTCCTCAGAAACAATCCCTTTTGAGTGTATCATGCTTTTATGCACCTGGCGTGGCCATCACTCAGCCAATGAGTGCCTAGAACCCACCAATTAAAATGGCTACAAGCAACACAACTTCTGCCCACAAGAAGTGCTGCTTGATTCACCTTCAGTCTGAAGCTTGTCAATTTTCCGTCTCCACTACAAGACCTTGGTTACAATTTCTGAGAGAGTGCATAACTATGTTGTGATGAATATGTTCAGACCTTCAGTCACAACGACTTGTGACTGCTAGCACAAAAATTGGTAACTTCCAAACGGTTTAGTCTATCCAATTTCACTCACAAGGCATGGATCAACTCATGGCATGGTTTTTCAGGTACTTACCATCAGTGACACATGCTGCAATGATTTCCTTAAGTTGATATATTATGGCACAAGATTATAAATGGACAGAGGAGATGAGAGAGAGGTTCATCAATTGAGAAGAGTTCCCAGATATAATTAAGAAAAAAAAAAAAGAAGTCAATTGTCATTTCCTTTGATTGCAGCCAACATGCATTTTGATTTTAAATTTGAATAATTTCCAAATGCCCAAATTTTAAAATTTTATGCATATGCATTGTGAATGCAACATTACACTCAAACTCCATATCTAGTTTTATTGCTTGCCAAGTTACAGCAAGGTCATGCAACTGGTTCCCAAGATTTAATCTACATCATTTCTGGACAGAACTTTTTTTCTTAAGATCATTATCAGCCATTTTGATAAAGTATATACTGCTTGCTATACAAAATAGGAATTAAGTTTAAATGACTAAAAGGATTTGATACTGCTGGAATTGTGCAGCATCAAATCCTTCATAAACATAACATTGTATTGGCATGATACAATCTTACCAAATTCGTCCTTCCCATAGCACTTTATAAGAATAGGAACAAGATATTCTACATTAAAATAATCAGAATATCTTGAATTATGAGAGAAAGAAAAAGATCAAATATAAACCTTTTGTTATTTTTAATGCTTCACTGCAAATAAATGGATTTATTTGCCATTAATAATAACTTCTATTAAAAAAACTTCCATTTATTTACAGAACAGTTAAGAAAAAAATTGGAACAATACAAAGAAGCTTCTTATAAAACAAATAAAATTAAACTCTTAATGCTAGTGGGTTAATTGTACAAAATACAAACTTTTGTTTACATTCATTTATACAGAAGGAAAAACAATTACGACTATGAGCATTAAGACAGTAATATTTTTTAAATATCCAAACCACACACACTTATTCTACCCACACAAATATATATATATTAAATCTAACAGTTTGATAACACATGGAAAAAAAAAAAAAAAAAAAAAAAAAACAACTGACTAAAGCCAGAAATCAATTTGTGAACAAACTTCATATGACACCTTATTTCTATTATAAAGTGAAATTTCCTCTCAGTTACATTAAGCGGCTGTTGCATAGATGGGTTGATTTCTAATAATGTCAATTAAGATAATTCTTTGTGTTTGATACCTGCACCACATTGGAAACAAATCACAAGAGGCAGTTTGAAATGAACATAAATAATTTACTTTGTTTACATTTATCATTCCAAAAGAACACCTGAGTATGGTTATGCTTAAATTTCTGGACTCCAAAAAACATTTGCATTAAATAGAAGTGATTTGGTCAGCAAGAAAATTAATCATTTTATTCTTCAGTTTCTTTTTAAATTGATTAGAAACCAAAAAAAAAAAAAAAAAAAAAACAGTTCATACAAGAAAAGGATGTAAAAGACCTCAAATGTTCATGGAACCTCCTAAATCAGTTGGTTAAACAGACTTCTGAAGAATAAAATATCTTAAGATTTGAGATTTACATTTGACAACTCATTCAGTCAGCTTTCAATTATTTTTCCAAAATATAGAGAAATCAATAGATTTGATTAAATGCGAAAAAAAAAAAAAAAAAATTACTTAGCACCAAATCATTTCTTCTTCTATATGCCCTGAACCTTCAGGATATGGGAAACCATGACTCCACAATTTTCTTTCCTTTGTGGCTCTTAATTTTTTTTTTGTTTCTTTCTCCTCAATACTTTCCTGATAATTGTTCTTATGAACTTTCCTCTATGGTACCTAGACTATGAATTTAAACACAGTACTAGATGGGCAGCAAGATCTCGTTTTACAGTTGAAATGGCTAGATGTAACAGTAACTTCTATGCTAACAATTTCTTTTCTCACTTTTGGAACTCTTCCATCTTGCTTTCCAGTTAATTTTGATCTTCAAAAATTTAAAGGCAATGTCAATTGTTATCTTCTGTCTTCTTAATTCCTGTTCTTTTATTATCACTCTTTAATCATGCTTTTCTTTTCTTATATTCTTTCACTCAGTAATACCCTGCGTCTTAGTTGCTTTGTTGCCTTCCTTGGAGTGAAATGATTAAAGAAAAAAAAATCTTGTTCCATCAACCATTAGGTAGGTTATGCACGGTTTTCCTGTTGCTCTCGCCTTCAATATGTCCTGTGACTGTCAGATTTTTTTTCTTCTTTCCTTATGTACCCAAAAAATGTCATCTGTGATTGTCCAGGATTCACAGTCATATAGGAGGGCCAATGTTACATAGTAATTCAGTACTCTTTTCTTTGTTTCTATTGAAATTTTCCTGTTTCTTAATACTTAAATTAAATCAGTTTTAAAGAATTGCTAAAATAAAAACTGAACACATTTCCATATTGAGAGTTGGATAGATAATGTCAAGTCAGCACTTTAATAAAAACCTTAGAGACAAAAAATAAAAAAAATCCACTGAGAAAAGAAAAGAACATTTAAAAAATAAATCCCAACTATGAATATGATCAAATCAAATGTTAAATTTCAAGGTTTGTGCCTATTACAAAAACTTGAAGGAATGAAAAAGAATAAAGACGACTTAAAACAATGTTACTCTACTTGTACTAGAAACTGCTATCAAAATGTAGATTCTTTATTCATTTTCAATTGAGTCATTTAAAGACTAATCTGACTAAACTAGATAAGCATTAATCAAAGTTTTTTTTTTTTTTATTCAATGTCAAACTTCAGTTGAGCATTACTTTGAATCACTCACAGGCTTCTGAGTTAACCTTGCCTTATGTATATATAATATATCCCAAGAAATTTATCATTTTATTTTTCCATTGTAAATTCAGTACAAAACAAGTCTAAGATTTTCGAATCAAATACTTGAAACATGAGAAGTGGTTTGTCATCTTAAGATCTGACAGTTCTTTCTCAAGACTTCCGCTGTACAAACACTTACACGTGTACAAAATGCCACAGAAGACAACTTTTGGTTGGCAATAAAAGAAAAAATACAGTAAGAAAAATGTTAAATAAGCGAAATTTCTTAATTTCACATTTATTTTTCATTGTGCAGGAAAAAAGTAAAAAATAAATAGAATAAAACTAAAAGTTTTACTTTCTGAAGAACTGAAGACTTCTGGGATTGTTAAGAGATTAGAAACAATGACGTGGTCTCCACGTAAAAAAAAAGAAAAAAAGAAAAAGACCGGCTGATGTTGAAAAATACTTTTTCTGCTAAGTTAGCATTTCTTATTACTTGGAATTGGGGGGTGATCACGATTTTAAGAAGTTTCAAGAAAACTTATTTTGACAATTCCAGAAGAATAGTTCTAGGAAGAAAAAGAAAAACTTTTACGTAGTTAATGGAATTAACGAAGTTTTAATTAACTTAAATAAGAAAACACGTTAGTATAGCGAAAATAAAATGTGAATAATAATAAGAGACTACACAGGAAATGTCCTGTTTTCCAATGAAACATTTTAAAAAAAATACATTTATATTGTATGCCAATTGTATCAAGCACACGTTTTTAGTATTTTCATCCCATTTTTGAAATGTTGGAATCTTGTGTGGGATAAAGATTGTGAAGAGGAGATTAAATAGAGAATTTAGGTCATAACAACAGGTATTTATTTCCTAGTGCATCAACCAATGTGTCAAACAGAAATACAAACATTCAAGTTAAATACTAAATAGTAAAGAAATAATAAAATAGCGAATACATTCATAGTTATTTTTTTCTTTTATGGAAAAAATATCATAAAGTGATTCAATAAGCTAACCTTAACATTTTTTCATTTTATTATTCATCAATCATAATTGATAATTATAATTATTAATTCTAACACTAAGCAATGACAACTTAATGAAATGTAATCTGGTAGTTTATCTTTTCAAAAAGAAAATCCAAATTACCTTCGAAGCTAACTTTTCGGTTTCGTTTTGACTTTTTTAACACAAACAAAAACAGCTTTTTTCTTCCAGATTTAAAAAGAGGTCGATTATTTTATTTTACAAAAAGCATTTCTTTATTATTTTATAGAAAAAAATTATGTTTACTTTTTTTTAAAACTGAAACAAAGAATTAAAAAAATAGGGGAGGGTGAATACAAAAAAGTCAACTAAAATCACAGTAGGTTCTCTAATGTTAGTTTATGTACTTTTAAGATAATTTTAAGAGTAAGACTAAGAGTAATTATTTTGATGAAATCACAGAAAAAGAGGAAGAGGAAAAAAAAAAAAGAAAAGAAAAAAATCAAACTCCAAACATGCAAGAGTTAAAAAATTGATTTTAAAGAAAGACGTCAAAAGCGAAATAAATTAATAATATCCTACCTTTTTAATTCTTTCAGTCTTTCTTCTTCTTGGATAATATAACTTTTGAGTTTTTTTGCGATGTCTCGTTCTGCATAAAGTGCTTGCTGCAAGTCGACCATTGCCGTAAAAAGTTCTGAACGAACAATTTGTGCCAATAAGGCAAACATACAAATATGTTGTAACAACATCGTCATTAACTGTAATTAATTCCAACACTTTGGTCAGAAATCCCTAGAATAATAAATTAAAGATTTTACATGTAGAAAATCATAAAAAAAAAAATAATAATATGGATGATGGACGGAGTTATTTTCGTTTCGCAATAAAGAAAATACTCTTCAGCGACAGTTTATTTTTATTTTTATGTTGAAAACTTAAGTCTTACAATAATTTTTTATTGAACAACTAGTGTTGTTAAACAATTTATTTTTATTTAGTTGCTGTTTGTAGCAACAATGAATAAATTGGCTTTTCTTTTTAAAGTCCCATTTCAGAATGAAGTAAAAATTGTTTTGACTGAAACAACACTTGTTATGTTTTGTTTTTCACTTATGGGGGTGGGAATGGCATTAAGAAACGTCAAATAAACAAAAAAGTCACCACTTGCATCTAGTGAAAAATCAATTTTTAAAAAGAAGTACTGAGACAAGATTTCTTTGAGAAAACATCTACTAAATAAAATGCATTCTTTGATTTGCCCTTTTGGTGTGCTGACCGATGGCAAAGAATGCTAAATATTTCTAATTTCTTTCACATTGGATATCAACACAGAAAAAAACTGTATATTTATATACCTACTGTCCTGAAAATTCGAGTAACTGCTAACAATGCCGAAGTGTGTTTGTCTTCCAAGGCACAACAGAGCTCTAATAATGGCAAATACGATTATTTTGTAATCTCTGCGTGTCTATGTACAAATGTCTTTTAGGATTTGTTTAAATAAACAGCTAGAGTTCTGTGCGTGTGTTCTGTACAAAAAACAGTAGTAAGCCAGAGCGTAAAGTCGTGTCTTCTAGATGCGGCCCAAAAGTAGAAGTTACTAAGAAGAAAGAAAGAAAAGTAGCTTTTTTTGTGTGGTGGGTGAGAGGAAAGAGAAAAGCAGTATTTTGTCGAACGAGTAGTAGGAGAGAGTCTAGTAGTAAAACTAGAAAGAAAAGAAAAATAACATTGACATTCACTAAATAGTAACGTGTGTGTGTAGAGGTAGGTAAATGGAGGAAAAAAAAAAAAAAAAAGAAAAAGTGGGGGCACTTCTTGCTAACGTGGACGTTTTCTTAAGAAATACGTGCCGCCAATCGCATACACCACATTGGTCGGCTCGGTGGTGGTAGCAGCAGCAGAAGATGGCCCCTCACCCAAATATCTACCCAAGTTCGCATCGAGAGCTTCGGCTACTGCTGCCTGTTCAGTGATCAGATAGAATTTCACCATTACGCACAAGATACGCCCAGGCTGCAACTATGAAAGGCTGACAACTTTCACAACAGGGACGATCCAACTTTATTATGAATGGGGGGGTAACAGATCTTTGTACGTGCATATCAGAAAGTAATTTATTACTCATTCGACAATTAATAGAAACTTCAGACATAAAAAACTATGCATAAAAACAATTTATAACATTAAAAAGCCTGGTTTGTAATTATATTTGTTCTCCAATAAAGAATTACGTATAGAAAGTTGAGGATTTAAGACAATCTAACACCCCCATCGGACGATGTCATTTTCTGAACGCATCCGAGTTTCATTCATGGCAGGACATCGTTGTTTCGCATTTCTTCCAAAAAACGCCTTTTTTATTATTGCTTTTCTTTTCCATCCTTCATTCTAATTATTTTCACCATAACAACAGGTATTCATAGTTATATCCAACAGGAGGTCATATTCGTTGATTTTTTTTTTTTTTTTACGGACAATGAAAATTTTAAAATTACTCTACTGAACTGCTCTCTTTCTTGTTGAGGATACTTGCAAAACACTTTCTTTCCTCTTTTGAACAATAAAAAAAAAGACATTAATGTTTATTTAAACTAATAATAATAGTAGTAGTTGATCACCTTTACGACTTAATTATCAATAAAAGATGCATTAAAAAAGATTTGGAAAAGAGCTGGTGAAAATTTAAATTTCAATTAAAAGGGAGATAACTCAACTATTTGCATTGGAGTGTCAAAAATATTAAATTTATAATTTAATTAATATTTTTTAAATATATTTCTTCCTTGTGTTTTTTTTTTTTTTATTTCAATTGTTTGTTGTATTGCTTTGAATATAAATAATAATTACTGTTAGTAGTGTTTTTTTTTTTTTTCCGAAATGCTATGTAAACAATAATTTAATTATGGAGGTTTGCCAAAAAAAAAAAAAAAAAAACTTGAAAAATACTGATTTATTCGGATTATTGTTATTCTCGCAACGTTTCGGCCGTTGTACTCTCCAGTCTTCTTCAGGTGTCTGCCATAAGATTTCGACCCAAAACTTCGGGGATAAATTGTGCTTTAAAATTTAAAGTTTACACTTCATTGTGTCATCATGCTTCAGCCTACACATGACCTCGTGGATAGCAAACGTAGTTGCTTGGCAATCGTGAGTTTGATTTTTAGCGAAAAAATTAATTACTTTTTTTGCTCAGTGAAAGTAAGAGACAACGACATCACAAAGTTGAATTTATGGTGGTGTTGGTAAAGAAAGAGTCATAGTCACAGTTAGTTAACGGAGTTAAAACTGTTAAATTAAATAAATTAATGAGTAAAATAATTTTGGTAAATTTTAATTTTAAAACTTCAATTTATCCCCATTTTTAAAATAAATTTTTTTTTATGTCAGTGTGCGTGTAGTTGTTGTAGCTGTATTTTTTATTCATCATAGCCTTACCATATAAATGTTAGATGGACATGAATTTGATATGGAGAACATTCATAGAACTTACAGGAGAAAAGTTTGACTTAGAGAAATCAGTTTTTGTTGTCCGTGTGCCTTTCGAACTTGAGCTGATCTGCTTGTATTTTGGGGGAAAGAGTGTTGTTACTTTGGCGTAGATTTTTGCCGACAAGCAGGCATTTTTGAGTTGATTGATGACACAACCTGTTGCAAAGTTTTGTGTTCAGCAGGGTATATGAATAAGGTTTTTGGATTTATTCAAATAATGATTGGTTGAAAATTTTCTCTTTATATCTCTTAATTTTCTACTAAATCCACAATTAAGAATCTTATTTTTGGCAGATTTTCCCACTTTGATAGGGATTCAGATATAAATAAAATATCTGTAAAAAAAACTGAATACAGACAAAAGGAAAACTTCTTTATCAAGGCAAGTATATGGATTTATAAATACATGCTGCAAAAAAATAAAATCCTTACATTTGCTTTAATAAAGAAAAGTCCATCAGAGGACAGAAAATGTTTAAACAAAGATTTTCCTTCTTTTTTTTTTTTTCCTCTCTCATATATTATATATATATATATACACACATATATATATATTATATATATATATATATATATATATATATATATATATATATATATATATATATATATATATATATATATACACACACACAATCTTTGATATTGATAACATTTACCCATAAATATAGCATACCTTAAAACTATATTTTTATGATAAAGAGAGTGAATCACATGTTGTGTGACATCCTGACATGCCTCCGACATCTTCACACCCTTACTATCTTGGTTATTAAAATTTCAATGGAATTAAAATAGTTCCTGCCCAAAATGGCATCTTAGCATGTATGAGTTTCAAGCCCACGTCAAAAAAAAAAAAAAAAAAAAAAAAAAAGCTTTCTTTGGAGTATTTAAAATTTTATGATAATTTCTATCAGAATTACTGAAATTAGTAAAACTCAGCATTTATGTCAAAATTGCATGCCTTATCACCTGTTAGTCCTTGAACACTAGTATCACTCTCATATGGATATAAAGTATCATTGTTTGAAATACTATCTACAGGATTTTTGTTATTTTTATCCTTTAAATACTTTTATTTTAGAATGTTTCAATATAAGGTTTCAAGTCTGTCCATAAACACTTAATTATACATATTATCATTCATCTCAATGAGGAATGTTTTCTTGGACACTGATACAGACATTTGTAGGACTCTTTATCAGCTGCTTCCAAAGGTTTCCTAATACAATCCATTTAAAGTCATACTTTATCTCAAGAACATATGGTTTATTCCAAATGAGAATTTCCCTTTGAAAATTAATGAAAATCAAATTGTAGCATTCTTTTATACAAGTTCTTACCAAGCTTACAATTCAATGAATTATCTTTCATGATATCAGGTGAATTGAACAGCAATTGGGGAATTAATATTGAGTAATTAGTTACAGCACAAAACATAATAAAGCTGATTCATTACATGTACTACATTTATTGAACAGCATAATTGAAAATTCTGATTCTTTATGATTTGTTATTGCTTTTTTTGTTCTTACTGTTAAACCATTGATGATAAACACTTGTCCTTGAACACTGGAAACCAACACTTTCTGATAGTTCTAAAAACAATTCACTTTCAAATTACATCTCCCTATCTGTCACATGGATGAGAACACCAAATTTTGTAATCTATGTATTTACAAAACTTTCAAGTACAAATTTTGCAATAATTTCAGTTAATGGTTGGGCCTCATTTTAAATGGTCTGTACATATTGAACAATATTTATAGGGACATAAATACGAATCTAAATCATTATAGCCTGAAGGGAGTGATCTGACAATATTTATATGAACATGATAAAGGGAATTAAAAAAGTTCATGTTCTGAATGTTTGTGTTTATTAAATTTTGATTGTTGGTCGGGCATACTCTATTAAAGATTTATTCCATGCTTGGCCAATTGTATTTGCATTTGACTAACATTTTAAATGAACCAAAACTAGGACAAAATAATAAATGAAAACTTACAAAAATAGATTGGCAGAAAGTTTATTTTTTGTATAAAAGGTGTAGGTTAAAAGTAGATATATCTTAGAATCAAAGACTGAAAAATCACTAAGGTTAGTAAAGAAAATTGATTTGATTTCTTTATAATTAACTTGTACTTACATCATTGTTGACAAATCACAAACATTTATTCATAGGCATTGATGCTTTTGTGCCTTCTCAGAAATACCAAGTGAAACCACAAACTTCTCCTTGGTTCAAACTGGCCTGTTCAGCCACTATAGTCTACAGGCATTACTTTTTTTCAGCTATACCAACGTGATCATTCTGATTACAACAGATGTCTTTGTATCTGCTTGTAATAATTGTAAACATGTCTTCAAAGAGGCTAACTCTTTGTTCTCTGACAGAATGAGGCACTGTATATCTTCTAATAAGTTTGGTTCTGGTTACTACTGGGGGCACTAACTAGATAACTATTTCTTCTCTCTTTACTCAATTTAAGGTGTTATCTTCTGCTGATAAAGTAGAATGTTTTGCTTGTAAATTCTCTTCCAATTCTACTCTTGACTGATAACTGGCTTGTGTTCTTTCTAACATCTACAATGCCTTGCTGCTTTTTGCTTTCCAGCTTGTTATAAATCCTCTTCTGTAGTTCCAGTCTTTAAGAACAAGCAAACTGTCTGATCCTTTTATCTGCCTATTAGTCTACCTCTTTTTGGCAAAGTACTAGATATTCTAGTCAATTACAAACTAGTTAAGCATCTCACCTCAAAGAGTGTTCTTTCAGACAAGCAATGTGGCTTTCACTTATCTAGGTCAACTGCTAATGTATTATCAGTTATTGCTGAAAGTGTCTATCAGGCTCTACATAAAAATGGTGAAGCTCAGATTGTTGCTTTGAATATCTTGAAGGCATTTGACAGACTTTGGCATCTGGCCAAATTTTTGATTTGATTCAGTTTGATTCTTATCAAATCATTAAATGAAAGTTGGTATGAACAGCCACTCTTCTAGATCCTTTTGCATTAACATGAGCATTTCTCAAGGTGCTATCTTGCAACCTACTTTGTTTCTAATTTTTGTCAATGACATTCCCAGTGTTATCATGTCAGTATCTATGCTGATGACACAACCATTTACTCTTTCCTTAAATGTAAGTGTGAACAGATTGATATGGTCAAATTGGCAGCCAATCTCAAAAATTACCCACAATCTGTTGTTAATTAGGGCAAGAGAACTTTAATGCATTCTTATAATCATTTTACAGAACCTTTTTTGCCTTCCATCAGCATGGCTGATGCTAACTTCCAGGAGAATGATTTGTTGCACCTTCTCAGGATAAGGCTTTCTACTGACATCAAGTGGAAAGATTAAATTGAATCAATTGCTAGGTCTGCTGCTAAGAAAGTTGGTTTATTATGTCATGCTAGATAATTTTCTTTCACCAGCATTTATCTGGAATATTTATAAGTCAGCTATGCATTGAATATTGTGCCATATCTGCTCTAGTGCT